ATGGGGGAGGGAACAAGCTGATGTAACTGTAAACAATGGGCTGTAAAGTAATACACTGATATTTATGAGGGTATTAAAAGTGTCAACCAAGAAAAGTTTCAAAGGTGGTGTAATTTACGGTCTTGGAAGATGATAGAAGACCATAATAACTAAAAAGAAAAAAGAGAATAAGTATTAACCTGGGAAGAGGCTATGTTAGATAAAGGCAAGAACAGATTATTAGCAATAGAAGCTGAGGAGAATAAAAATGACAAGGGAAAAGTGAGAAAAAATAGAGCTTCTGAATGCAGCATCTGTATAATAAGGAAGACTGGCTGTTGCTGTGTGGATATGTTATTACATTTGAAGGGTATTGTGTCATAAATACATCTACTAGTCCGAAATAAAAATGCAAAAAGTAGATGGGGAAAAAAATGTTGGTGTATGTTATTAAAACACAAATACATTCAGATCAAGGGAGAACTATGATTTGCCTTATTGCTTTTTGATCCACTGAAAATATATGTCCACAAAGGATAAAATATAAGTTTTTATTAAGGTTCCCAACAGTGTCATGACCCGAATGATGACCTAAAGAAAACATTAACACTAGACATTCTACCCCTATAAACTGAATGTATTATGTGTTATGTGAATATCTCTAATAATAATGCCATTATATTAACTGGTGCAGAAAAGTCAAAGAGTAACCACTTCTGCTGCAGGCCAGAACACAGCGTTACAACTATTTATCATAATGGAACACTGACAGATGATGCACCTCACAAGATATCACAGCAGTGAAAACACAGAAAAGAATAAGTAAAGCTCAATCAATCAATCTCCAACACAGGGAAAGTATTCAAAAAGTAAGTCTTAACACAAAAAGTAGTCATTTCACTTTAGGCAATACAACCCATGCCTGTTACTTTATACTAAATTAAAAAACAAAACAAAATAAAAACTTTTAGGCACTACAGTACAATCTCTCTGGGATTGATTCAAATGTGCATCAACAACTACGAATAATGGATTTGCCATATTTTGTGCCTGTCAATGCATTGCAAGGGTATACTTATCTGATACAATTTCATCACTCAGCCAGTAATATGATATTTTCAATCTGTGGATATACATACATAAATGTGCAACTTTCACAAAATCAAGTTCCCCTAAAGCTTGAAAAATTATACACTGGTGGTGAAAGTGTCACACTGTCCAAACAAATAAACGATATATTTAATGAATGTGCTGGTCTGTCCACTCATTAGTTAAGTTCTTAAGAATTTGCTCCTTACCAATGAGATCTAATTAAGGAATGTAATGAATTTAATAAAAGAACATTTAAGTAATCTAAAAAGTAAGGATAAAAGACAATGTACAAGAATGTAAGGAGAATTGCTATAAAAAATAAATATCTCGTTAAATACTTGAAATCCACCGACATGCAGAGACTTCTTTCCAAAACTCATCACCCAAAATTTCACAAACCCCTTACTACAGGATGCCACTTTTAGCATTTTATTTGGCTAACGGCAGACAATTTTATTCAGCTTAAAGGGAACCCATATACAAGGGGTTTAAATTTGTTTACTCATACCTACTATACATTATGTAAAGTCACAAACAAAATTCCTGTTTTTCTGCTGCTCCATGAATCCTTTAGATTCAGACTTGTGAACCTGAAGAATTTATGGGCAGAATAATGCACGTGTCTACTGCTTCGAGTTCACGAGTCTGAATCTCAGGTCTGTGGAGCAGCAGAAGAGGTGACACAGGACCTTCGACCCTGACTATTCGTGGGTGAGAAGTAAGAGTCTGATGTGCACGTAAGATAAATAAATAACAAAGGATTGCAAAATGCAGCCTAATTAACCTATTATTGCATCATCACTCTGTCTATTCTCCGGTTCAGCTCAAGGGAGGGACACATCATTATGAGAAAAGATGAGATAAGCAACATAAAACTGCAAACATCTTAGCTATTCCAAAGAAAAATATATAAATACATATACAAGTACAGTATGTATGTGTGTGTATTTACAAAGTGTTAAATGGCACTCAACAGTTGGACACATTAACCAGGCCAATCACCAGCCAAAGTCTCCTATTTACCTTGGTGAAATATTAAATACTGTGCAATAATGACACTGTGCTAATAACCTTTCTGAAAAATACCTCTAGTCAATGAAATAAGATATTTCAGCAAGGTGTGAAAATACTTAATATACACTCGCACAAAAAAGAATCCTTATGATTTTGTGTGAGATAATATGACGCAGGATTTTGACAACCCTACCATGACAACAGGAGGAGCGGTGTTCATTTTGAAATTCATCGAACCCCTCCGTAAAGATACCTTTTGGAGTGAGGTACAATACCGCTAAAGATTATTCCAGCAATGCAAAAGAAACTCAAGTAATGCATAACAATATGATCTATATGTAAAATAGACTCTATCAATGAGCGAGAATACTCCAGCAATTTATAAGAATACTTTCAACTAGAATGATAAATCAGTAGAAGAAAATTGTCTAGCAACACAAAATAGTTATCGAGCAATAGGTAGATGACAATACGATGTTTACCTCTACAAGTACTTTCTCTCTCCTGTAAACTATTTACTTCGAGTTGAGGGCGACTACCGTTATACTTTTCAACAGTAAATTTCACCCTTTGATTCAGCAACTAGTAGGAGAAAGTAATTAATAAGAACCCTGTATTTTCATTTTACTTTTCAATTCTCCATTCATTTTTTTTTATCTCTTGCAAGCTTTTCATGGTATGTTACAGGGTGGCCAGAAATGAGAGCAAGAAATTCTCTCCTTTTGCAATTATTCATATACTTTTGCTGATGTCACAGATGTAGTCTAGTATGGTGATCCCTTCCCACACACACATACAACATGGCCTGAAAACATGATTCTCCCCCACACAACATGGGTTTAAAACATGATCCCCCACACAACATGGGTTCAAAACATGATCCCGCACACAACATGGCCTCAAAACATGATCCCCCACACAGCATGGCTACAAACATCTATCATGGTTACCTGTAGCTTCAGACAATCTAGTATCACACACCAACAGCAGGTCCATCCCCTCAAAAACTAACAATAAAAATGAATACTGAAATTTATACAGTACAGTACTAGAAATATTGCCCCTTTTCTGCCAATGTACTGAATTTCATGACTGGATTATCAAAGCGCATAAAAGGTCACCTCAGTAATACCACTCCAACATGGTCTTGTTTCAACACATTATTGCCAAAAAACCAATTAACAAGAAGAGTACAATACAATAATTACCAAGAAGAATGCTGCTAATTTTCACAGCTCACACAGACAGCAAAACTGATACTTCTAAGTGGAATTAAAACATTAACATTATTAATTACCAGGAGGAAAACAAAGGGGCAAGTATACCAAATGGTTATATACAATCTAAGGACTAAAGTTTCCAGGGTAATTAAATTTGAAAGTACATAAGCAATACTTAGCTAATAACCCAAGAGAAGATCTTAGTGTTAAAAATTTCCTTCCAACATCAAGTGCAATGTTAATACAATACCGTAAGTATTGCTTCATCCTTAAATGTCTAAATTTTAAGATGACTTTGCAAATGTGCATATCACCTTCTAATCTTTTTTATACAGTAACATTACAGAAGAACAATCAATTGTGTATAGTACAATAAATCACACTACATTTATATCAAAATAAATTTAAGGTGTTCTAATTCATACGGCCTCCTTCATCTTAGCAACTTGTATGTGTGATCAACGTAACTCATACATGGATCATCTTCACAGCCATGATTTCAACTCTGAAGAAGTTTATGACTAAAAATTACACAATCTGCACAAGTTCTGCATAGTAAATAAACCAAAAATAATTAACATTTAATATCAACAAGACTACAGTACAGTATCACAATATATGGAAACTATTTTTCAATAAACCTGCACTTCATGTAGTATACTTAAAAATAACTGTCAAAGATGGGGAATGTAATCAAGGGACTTCACTGATGATGCTCCTATTGGAAATAACATATAATACAGACTCCCTTCACTCATTCATTCTTAATGCTGTAACAAATATGTTCTGTCCTAGTATTCCCTGGCCACATTGTCCCACACATCTAACTGTTGCTTCACACTCTCCTCACCAACACACTCATCCCCAAAAACCAAATGATAACTATGATATTTTGTTCTTATAATGGATTCTGCATATCTCTTGAATCAGACAAACTCTTTCCTTACCTAGAGCAACTTCTGTTTCTATTTTGTTCAATACTGTCAAGAATAATAAGGATATCAAAAATATTATAGTACTTATACACCTGTTACCCTCCTACACACAAATTGTTACTATTTATGGCTTACTGGCACATTTTACCTACTGCACCTGTCTCCCACATTCTTAAGGTGACAAACCCCAGGAGCAATGAGTTGGTTGAGTGGCAAGCACAATACACACCACAGTAAATAACACCCAACAACCATGTACGGCCATGGGATTAAACCTGTCTCTCGTGGGTTGGGAGTCCAGAGTGCTCCTGTATCAGCTATGCCACAGAACCTCCATATTTTTTTGCTAAACTGTGAATTAAAATTTTACACACTGCCACTTCACTTATAAAAAAATAATAAATAAATAAAAAATGAAAAAATATATACATCATGCATTTTCAACATCAACACAACAGTTAATGGATTTCCCATTGTCTGAGATTATAAATTTATACTAAAGGTTGCATGAATTTAGGTTTTGAATGAAATAAAATTACCTTGGCTAATGCCTTAATGAGGATTCTTTTAACATATCTCAAAGGTATCAACACAAAAACCCAATGCAATATTTCATTCTAGATATACTGTACTAAATTTGAAAAAATTAATCTAAGATGCTTTTAATTTACCCTTTCAAAGAAAAAATTTGCTCTGATATTCTGAGTGGACCTCTCATGGCTGTTTCCCATTCCTTATGAGATTAGGTGTCCTGATCTACTTTAGTCCATCTTAGTGAGCAACATTGATGAATAAAGAATCTGTGTTCAAATTATAAAAATTTATATTTTCTGCTGGTTATAAATATGAAATATAACCTAGTCAACCCAAGTTTTGAATGAGATCCTAAACTAAATACAAACATTAAGAACAAAGGAGACAAAAGACATTATCATTCTCTTTCCCGCTGTGTTAATGACCAAGTCGTATACAATCTCAGAGATATTACCAGCGTCAACCATTGATGGTGTGTGCAGCGTTTCCGTGTCCATTTAAACGAATTCAAGATGGTAAGCACCATATACCACATTAAACATACAGTATACTGTACACTCAACTCTTCTGCTAACTTGTAACATGATTAAAACTTTTACTTTGAACATTCACAGTAACCTTACCGATGTCTTCTAATGATGTAATATCTAATTCTAAAACTGAGGACTATTTATATTTTTTGAACAGACAATCTACAACATGTGCAGTGTCAAGAAATATATCCAAAAACAACCATATTAATTTAGAAAGAATCTGTGTTTACTTTTAATCTGTGCAAAGCTGACAAATCTACTAATACTGCAACTACTTATAATTAACTGCTTTGGGTACTATACAATTTCAGTTTAATAATTTGTCATTATTGCTCTCTGGCCAACACACTGTTTCAGCCATAAGAGATGATATTATGAACAGCAACAAAAGGTCTGACATAAATGAACAGCTAAAGTAACTTTTTCTATACAATTTTTGCTGAATCCAATAGCTGAGAAACCCTACAACTAGAGTACTGCAACACACAGCACTAGGAGGGACAAATGCTCTGACAGCCTGGTATATTCTCCCATATGGTAAAGATAAAAAGTGTTTCTAACATGGCAGTGACAAATCTTATCACACAATTGCTTAAATTTCTTTCGTTGCAATAGATATTTAAACAAGGTGCTTAGTACTGTATGCCTGTCAGACTCACTTAACCCAAGTTTGAGATTATGCATATCAGTGCACTAACACAATCTATCGTATCCCACCACAGTAAAGTAAATAGGTATTGTTTTGTCATAAAAGTAAGTTTCCTTAAAATAATCTAAATACTTTCTCCCTTGCAATGCGATTCAGACTCATTACAAAAGACAATATAATGCTACAAATTACTAAGACTGTAAAGCTTGATGCTCAAATTAAAATGCACCCAGGATTACATCTCCATCAAGCTTTCAGTTGTAATCCCATTTTTAGATTATTTTTTGTTTTGTTTGTGCACACGTGAAAAAAAAAAAAAACCTCTTAACACCTTCAGGGTTAAGTCACGGACAAAAGAATGTTATGCTTCACTGTTAAATAATACTCTAGTTTAGAAGGTTGAACAGCATTATTTGTACAATATTACCTACAGTTTTTGGTACGCTATCGCCATGTAAAACCTACAGGAACACATGTGGCCACTGGCATCTATTACTGTAAATGGTGAGCTAGAAAAGGTATTAAACTCCTTATCAATAAAGTGATATATGAACTGCAAGAAAAGTTTGTGCAAGGAAGTATAAATTAACTAGTAGGTGACATAACATCCAACATAATATTGGTAAGTACAGTGCATATAAGTACCTGTGAAACTGCTAAATGAGAGTTGATGAAAATTCGGTGTTTATCAATAAGTGTACCATATACTACTGAACATGTTATGTTTACTGTAAAACTGAATAAAAAAACTGGTCTTGTTTCTTGGACAAAAAAATTCTTCCTTAAGCAAATCCAATTGTCATATCTGTGCAGTCCAACACAAAGAGAAGAACTGAAGTACAACCTCATCAAATTATCCTGTGTAGTCTATTATGGGGGAAAAGGAATGCTAACAGTAAATTTCATTCTACGTCAATCGCCCCAAACATGTGCTAATAACAGACTGGAGAAACTATCAAGGCACAAGCATGATGGAAGTAAATAATGCGACTCATTGGTATCACATACTTTTTTTTTTAATATCACCGGAACCGTTATGGTTGCCTTCGTATAGGAAGTGTTATTTAAGCAACCTTTCTAGTCTAATGAGGTAACCAAACATACACACATGAGATGCACTTAAGAGAACCTCTTCCCATACACGGGTTGGTTTGTTATTGGCCTTCACAAAAAAGGCTGCGTTCAATATTAAAATTATTGACTGTAATATCTTTTGTGCTTTCTACTTAATAATTTGAGGCTGATTACTATTTAAAGGCAATTTTAATAATAATAATAATAATAATAATAATAATAATAATAATAATAATAATAATAAAGTATAACTATATACTGTACACTTGGGTTCCACACTTCAACTTTATGTATAACAATTCTAGCTGACTTAGTAAATCCTCCCTCATCGACATAATGCCACACACATTCATGGAAAACAGTGTACTGATTGCCAGCTGAAAGTTAATTCTTAGCTTGCAACATAAGTTTATCAGGTGAATTTTAGCTTTAACTTGCAAAACATGATTACCAGCTGAATTCTATTTTCAACTTTACCCTTTACATATAACAAAAGGTTTTCTTGGATATCATTATTACCGCATTGTGTTATTCAAAAGGTGCCGAGGCAGCAAGAGCGCAGCCAACAATGCCCTACTCAAAGCTATGACAATACTAAAAATACATTTGCAAAATGCTATACAAATATAACTAAACACACACACCTCTCTTACACACAGTTCTGGCGTAATATCTGGAACCCAGGTTGTTATTATCGTTAAATTCATTATTATACTGAGCGGTCAAATTAAGGGTAAATATTTTGTATACTAAATGTATTAAGGTTAATGACTAACAGGACCTTCGCATGTCCTGGACGATACAAAAAGCAGATAAATATTTATGGATGAAATGACACAGAAATTCCTTAAGCATTCCTCTCTGTCAAAAGTCAAGCATTTCATTTCATATCCAGAAAGAAATAAAATAAAATTTATGAAATCTTTACATAAATAATAATGTTCTGTTCTGTACAAAATTGGAGGAAAACCTATGATGTAAAGGCTGGATATATCATGTGCTCTGTCTCCAGCTATGAACAACACCAAGTCCCTTTATGTAGTAGTAATTCTTTGCAACACAAGTTCAAAAAGACATTAGAAGAGGTTTTAATTTTCTTATTGGGATACCAATTACTGTAACTACCTCCTGTTTCAATCTGCTTATACAGTATTCTAAATATAGAGCATAGATTGGGTTCTGTTATTTGAAAGACTATATTTCAGGGATTCTATACATATACAAGCTATAACTAATAATAAATGTGTATTGCATACTTCCAACATTTCTTATCACAAATGTTTCAGTCAAAATTCACTTCTGTAATTGTTTATATTTAATAAAAAAGAAAAATTTAATATACCTAATGAGGTTCCCTAATTAGGTTATATTATGAACATTTCCATTTACAATATTCTTAATAATTAAAAAAAAATAATTATAATTTTTCACTAAATATCAAAGGAAGTTTAGTCTTGTGTATGTAGCTAAATATCCTTTTATGTTATCAAACACTGAATACTGTATTCAGTATCTTATTGATTGCACCTAAAGATCCCTTAACCTTTGCAATAGGGCATCAGGTGCATCGCCACCATTCTCTGTTGTCTGTTGGTTGAAATTTCTCTCCCGAGACTCCAGCCCTGTGGGAAGACCGGGTCGGCGGGTGCGGGGACGTGATGTTCGGGATGGCTGGTTCTCCACGTCAATGTCAATTGTATCAGTTCTGAATTCAAAAGATCATGAACGAATTGTAATAGCTCATAAATATATATCCTCGTGCAAAGTATGCTTTAAACTGAGGACTAATAAGAGTCAAAATACTTGCATGATCTGCCTAACTTTGACAAAAATTATATAAATAATCCTGAAAGAACTTACAGTTTAATTTCTTTGTTGCTAGTTGGCGACTGCGTGACTAAACCTGAACGAGAACGACTCCGATTCAGTTGGGCCCTTCTCTCGGCTGTTATGAAGGAAATATGGCTAATTAAAACATCTCTTCATAAAATGAGGAGCAAAATTTTAAGTACAGTAACTCTATTGCTAAAGGTAGCCTGGTAGAAGTAAAAGAATTTTAGACTGACCTAGGGTAATTTCTGATATATTTCTTAGGAGGGTACTTGTACAATTCTGAGGCAAACACTATTTGAACATTATTTAGTTTAACATTTCTATGATAAAATTTGAGGGAAAAACAAACAAACTAATCTTGACTGGCATTCTCACTGAAATTAATAATTCTTATCATAGAACTCCCTCCAACTAACAAATACTCCAAATGACGGCTTATCACACTGAGTTTTTGACACGTGAATTTGTTCGCTATACAGGTCTGTAACATTACCCTCGAGTAGTGCTGTAACACTGGGCCCTAAGTAGACCAGAGCCAATGAACTCACTACTACATTCACAGTGGGGACAACCTAAGGTGAAAATGTCAGACAACTAAAGAATACAAGAGTTCCCCTTCATGTCTCCAAGCTTCATGCAGTGAATAGATTTGAAATAAGGGGGTTGATGGGCAAGTGCAGACATAGTTCCCAAACAAAGGTTCTAAATACGTAAGTGCAAAGTTCGGTCTGTGAGTTGCCTGTTATGTTGTAAATCAAACTCTATATACAACAATTATGCCTCATACATCAGGCTATATGAAATCTTGGCCATTTCAGATTTAACTGGCTCTCGAAGGTCATTTTGGATATAATACTTCAAGAAGTGAATAATTTGGCTTGGCTAAACTAGGCCCCAGTGACACAGAACTAAAACTAGGTAAAGAACTTCATCTCAAAAATGCCAAATGAGATGCAGTCACAAGTTCAGGCCTTTCCTTCTATACAGTAAAAAAAATAAAAATAAAAATCTTATCCCTAAGTACCAATACTTCAAAAACTTTTCATTATTCAAATATTGTTCTAATAATTCCAACATCATCTAGTTATTTATGTAAACATGACATGATTAAACAGACAACTGTAGATAACACATAACTATGATGCTTGTATGATATTCCAAGACAACTGTGGACACTACAAAACAATCATTCAATCAACCATGGGAGCTTACAAGGGTTTTACTGTCTGGTCAAAGGTTTTTAATTTACACATATAAACGGTAAGAGAATATAAAGTAAAGCTCATTCTCCTATAGAATAACATCAGTACAGCTACTTAAGACTTTAGATAAACTTAAACCAAGAAATCAAGAGTCATTACAGTACTATACTATACAAAAATCTTTAACAAAATAATTACTTTGGAACAATGAGATTATGAAACAACTTTGATAAAATTGGTTAGTAAGGTCAGAGATGTATATATATACAGTTTATCTGGTCTTCATGTTTTTGTATACGTATATGAAAATTTATATACCTAAACTATCATAAAAAAAGCACAAATGAAACTCTCACTCTAAATGTACTCTGTGCTGTAGTACTGTATTGTACTGTACTGTACTAAAAAAAAAATTATGGCGACAGTAACTGTTAATGAAAGCTTGAATATGTGACTGCTTGTGTTGTAGTTAGGTCTGTACTGTAAAATATTCATGTCATGTCACCACATAAACAAGAATTCAAAAACATGCATCCAAACACACACAAAGGCATATTTACAGATAAGTATGCATACACTCACAAACATGGTATACACTGGGTTGCCTAAAACACGCACTCAAACCCAGGTACGCATGTATACTGAAGCATACAAACAGACAGCTATATATATGCTCACACCTAAATACACCAACAAGAGTGTAACACAATCTCTGCAACCATGAGCTAGTGTAAAAAATGGTCAATTTTCTTCCCTTTAATGCTGGATCAAGAAAAGACGCATGTGTTTAATGATTCACAGAGCCTGTAAACTTATCTTTAAGACTGTTAGCAGGGTTTTGCAACTCCTAGTTACTGAGGTAATGATGAAACAAACTGTAAAAATCAGGGCCGTATCCAGGAGGATCCTTGGACGTCTGTAACCCCCCATCCCCCTTCTTTGGTTGTCCCAGAAAAAATTAATATTCTATGGAGATTATTTATTTGATTTCTAAACTGTGAACCCAGTACTGTATATATGTAGAGATGGAGTAAATGGAAGAGAAGAGTGTCTTAAAGGATACTGTATATGGATATTCTGCATCAGCCACCATGAGCAAGAAAAAGTGTAAGGATTATCAACAGACATCTAAATCTAGAAATGTACTTGTAGAACTCTTAGAGTTGGTGTCTTGACCTGCTGTGATATAAATCGTTGTAGAAAAGTAAAAAAATCTAGAAACAGTGACATACAGTAATTGATACTGTACCCTCCATGAAAATTATAAACATTACAGTATTTGTAATAATTCAACTAAATTTAAGAATCAAGAAAACTTCTTGGAACTATATTGCAACAAAATAAAAAATAAAAATGAAATAAATAATAATAATAATTTCTAAGTGCAGACTTTGATTCTAAAACATAGAAAAAAGATTCAATTCAAACACATGCTGCAATCTGGTGCAAAAGCCACAACAAATATACTTCTGCAGCCGAGGTTGGGGGTCTGGTGCAGGACAAGCATATACCGTACTGTACTGTACTGTACTAATGTAAATGAAATTATCGTGATAAATTTCTTCGTGTACTTTGCATAAGCAAATTATAGTCAACGATGTTGGTGAGTTAAGTGTGGTTTAATCACTCCATCACCTAGTGTACAAAAATTGAGTGAAAAGAGCAAAATAAATGCAAGATTGGTTGTTGACCATAGGTGCAATTTACATGACACCACTACCTAACTGTCTGCAGCCACCAGGGTAGTGAAGGGTAACTACTACCAAGTACTATACTCGGCATCATTAAGTTTAACTCTTCTCATAATTGCTTTAAGTTTAATGACTCTTTCATCATGAAAACTGGTCATGTATTAATGTACATATATAATAACCCATTCCATAAATGTCACAAGTAGATATATGTATGAAAGTGTACATGAAATTTGGTAAAAATATGGAATTCCAGAAGCAATTACTATAATTTCTGACAATAATTTGGACATACTGTATACGGTATTGATCCGTACTGCGTCATATCCATTTTAACTTTGTACTGTACTCAGTCCCCCACATAATTCATCCAAGCAACAGACATTTTTGAATGGAATAAAATCAAGAACAACTAAACACTCCCATCACCAGTGGGTCACAGTAATATACAGAGACAATAGAAGCTTAGAAGTTCTAGTTTTTTTATCCAACAATCAGGGGATATGTCTTGTGTTTTGGATATAATGGCTGCATACCATTTTTTTTATATCTATGAACTTCTTAAGCAGAGGCATTATTGTATATGGAAATGTGTTTTGTGTACACTTAATGCACAAAATGAATTGTAGGTTGAATACCCAGCACAGGCCAAAGTTTGTACCAGCCATGTAATCTATAACACAACTATCACTTAAACCTGTGGTCTACCATCTATATTCACTAAACAATACTCAAAAGTGAGTCACTGTATATATCACCTGTATTTGTCAACTTACATATGTCTTCCAATGTTCAGACAACAAGTAAAATGACAATTATTATGTTCAAAGGCTGCCCCTGTAGCCACTGTACAAGGTAGTCCATTTGATGAATTCAAATGTCAGACTATCAATAATACAAGAAAGAATATGAAATGGGAACAAAGTTTCACCTCTCTGCATTACATCATGTATTTGGCACATGAACCAACAAGATATAGTTTATAAGTAAGGCCACATAATATTGTGTGCATTAAGCTTCTGGGAATTTATCCCTTTTCCTCTTTTCTCCACAATGTGTCCTATCACAATAAAATAAGCTCATTTCTGGCTTTGCTGTTGGATGAGTTATATAAACAACAATATTTGTCCAATTTCCAAAGAGTCAAGGAAATGGTTAAAATCATAATCAAATCAGAAGAAATGCTGTGTTTGGCATAATAAAAGAGTAATAGATAACTGAGTGTCATTTACCCTTCATCTATATGGTCCATGTGCAGTTGTTATCAGAAAGATGGTTTCATGCTGATTTACCACCTATGACATGACTAACCAACAAGAGTACAAGGACCCCTCTAACATTATCACACGTGGAGTCATGTTCAGCTTTCTTACCAAAACATATGAATTTCAAATAAGGAAATATCTGTCAATAATTTGTCTTTAAAGATAAATAACTATCCAATAAAATCATGTCTGCAACCACATACAGTATATAACTATGTTGATTTATTGTATACAGCATGAATAGAGTCAGTGAAGTTATTGTAGTGTAAAGTTCATAATTAAGAGAAGCAACTGTAAACACTTAATAATTTTCAGTTACTCAAATAACAAAAAAAAAAATGTTGATAAACTCCACATGCTCCAAACCCCAGCTAAGCATTATCATGGGTGAGTGAGGCAGCAGGTATAAGAGGTGGGCAGGACTATGAGCAAGCAGTGACACACAATCATGGGGTTTGTCTTACCCACAATGGACAAGCTGGCTCCTCCCTGTCAGGTATGAATGTCACAAGAATAAATGAGCAGGAAATAAGATCAAGCAAAGGCTGGGGAGGGGGACTCAAAATTATGCCCTAAAATTCCTCATCATTCAGGAAAGTTCTGCCTGAAGCAACATGAAAGAGCCATTGTCCATTTCTACTGATAATCATAAGCCTGTGATCTGTACTTAATAACAAATAGCATATACAGTATATATATGTATATATATATATATATATATATATATATATATATATATATATATATATATATATATATATATATATATATATATATATATATATATATATATATATATATATATATATCTATATATATATATATATCTATATATATATATATATCAAACTAAACTGCTCACATGAAAGTTGACATGAAAATAAAAAAAATAAAAGACACAAGTGAAATAAATTACAGTAACTTGATAAAAGAATTAGAGCTCATGAAGCATCAATTACATAAGCTAAAAAAAATCTTAATGGCTCAATCAAAAGAAACACATAAACATCAAATTCCTATAAAATTAAGTTAAAAATTAATTGATGAGGAAATCTAGAAATGAACCAATGAACAGCGTTCATAATAAAATATATATATCATAAAATTGAAAATAAAGACAGAAGAAAAGAAGAAGCATTGGTCATGGACATTGTTATGTACTAAACACATACATATATATTTGCCACATCATTAACACACAAGAAACTAACAGCACAAACTGGGCTATAGCAATCATTTTACAGGACAGATAATGAAGGTCTAAAATTGGAAGAGAGTAAAGCATTATTTAAAAATATAATTACTGTATGTATACAGTATATATATATATATATATATATATATATATATATATATATATATATATATATATATATATATATATATATATATATATATATATATATATATATATATATATATATATATATATATGAATATATCTATGGCTCCTGGAACAGAATAATTGTAGAGGTGGTGCTAAATTCTACTCAGTTCCTCATTATGTCAGTTAATGAGTAATGAAATTATTTAAAAAAAATCACATTATTTTTGCATTAATTTTTCTAAAATATAAAAACACGAAATGCCAGTAAACACCAAAAGTCGTAGAACAAGTTTTAATGTAAATAAACATTATACCAGTAAACAGCTTGTAGCCACTACTTGAAATATTCATAAATTTATGAATGAAACAATTAGTTATTAAATGAAAATGGCATCCATTGCTGAAGAAACTTAAGGTATGATAGGCCAATAACTGCTAAAACCGATGTACCATTACAAATAATGTTACTGGTATATATTTTATGGCACAAATCCTATCAAGCAAAAGTCATATTATACTTTCTGATATGCTAATAGGACAAATTAGCATGGTCACACCATGAATGATAAGTTGATTTCATACCAGTTTTCTTCTAAATCTGGAAATCGTTGCCCTTATATTCCATACGTGAACAGACTACTCCTCATCTCTATTCCATTTGTAGATGAACCAAGTGGAAATCAGGTAAAAGCTAATACCAGAGACGTAACAATATCACCCAATACACCTTATGCCACCGAGAGATGAGCCCTGTTGTTGTGGCATCTATCTGAGTGAGGCTGTTAAAGGCTAGTTAGTTTCTCAGCATATGGTTCTATTATTCCCAACAAAATCCTCTTCAGTGGTTACCCCGGACTTATTCACTATAACTAAGGAACTATTGCAAATTTATATATTTTATATTGTCTGATTAAATTTGCACTCTCAAATACTGTATTCCCATGCAAGAAATAAAGACAGCATTTGTGGGGCAAGCTCAGCAAAAATTCAACATTCTTTACATAAGTTTGCAAAGGTAAAAACAAACAAATTCGCCTATACTGTACTGTAAATGTAAGGAAATGTAATATATCTCACCCATCCACCTCAGTTTGCAGCACTCTCAGAATGCAATAAAAGTCAAGAGGAATGGCCTTGAGAGCTGGGCAGAGATGAGAGAGAGCAACACAAGGAACAGACGATAGTCTGTCATTTGCTTGAATCTATTTTGTAATATTCTTGAATATCATCACACAAAGTAACATTACAACTGGTCAAAAATATGAAGAAATGATATAGTTAACCTATTTTGTGATCTTTTAAGACTTAACCCTGGCAAAGTTAATATGCAGTATAGAAAAATTCTTCTTCAATCTGTCAACAAGAGTTCTAACAAATTACGTTGTGATATATTATGTGTAGACTGATAAAAATATGAAGGTATTGTAGATCCAAACCCAAATCTTCTGATAATTATTTACCTCTGACCATTAAAAATTATTAATCTTGGTTTTCATATGCAAGACTCGTAAATTGTTTGGGTGTGACCAATTTCAAAAGTTTGAAACTGGAAACCATATAAAGTTAAAAAGGAATCAGCATATATCAAAACCCAATTCAAAGATAATAATCAGACCAGGAATTATTAAAAACATACTACAGTACTGTAATATGCCAGGAAATAAATGTCTCACTTCAATGGGAAAGGCACAACCATTTCAGAGAATACAAGTAGTGTCTTAAGTTACTTACATACATGGCCAACCAACACCATACAGAAAATCATCAAGGAGATAAACAAACCATCTGGGCACAAGGGAACAGTGAACAGTTTCCAGTGTTATGTACAGGGAGAACAATGCAAAAGTCCCAGTGATATTTACAGGTAAAGGTAGGTGTTTTTCAGTGTTATTTACAGGTAAGTATCACAGATGAAGAAATAATTGATCTAATAGTGTGCTGCAATATTTCCCCATTATTACACTTATTTGGAACACTAATGCTAGTTTATATTTTGATATATATGTATAATGATGTCACTTAGCGATAATACAGAAGACAAATCTGTACTCAAAGTGTCATGCAGAACTTCTACAAAGAAATCATCGTGAGGCCAATATTGCATTTTTTATCTGTAAATCAGAACTTGTTAGATTTGATAACTGGGGACTATTTTGTGTGTCTCACCATTTCACGATGTCATATTCTTATCACATCGCAACACTGCATACTGTTCAAGACATATAAAGTAGATATGCATGGGGTACACAAATACACACTTAAATATCATTCAAAGGTGTGCTTTATATTTTAGACACAAAGAAGATTCAAAGACTTGATCTGGTAGAGGCAAACAGTACACAAAGACTGATAGGGAATATATTCAAATGAGAAATTAATATATTTTTAATGGAGATGCTAAATGAGTAATGGTTCAAGGTGAAATATCAGATACCTGTCCCCAATAAAAAATAAACAAATAAATAAGAAATACTGTAAGGACATACTTGTTATCCCTTTATTACTTCAACCTCTAATAGCATAAAAGACATATGGTTATTCCTTGGCTTAGAACTGCCAGCAGATTTTACTGAGGGATTCTGCAAAACTGTCATGTTGTACTGGCTGGAATTAGGCTTAAACAATTCTTTGTCCAGTACCAATCATAAGTTGTATCCTTCCCCATACCATCTCACTGTGCCTTCATCCCAATTCTAGAGTCTATTACAGTGATCATGTATTTTCTTTTAATAATGACTAAATCACATTATGTTGAGTAGGGTAATGATCAGGGTGCACCATAGTCAAAGGGCAGTAGGGCATGATGAGAGGGGACACTGTGGATCAAGATACAGCCACGAGAAAAGCTGCCCACAAGGAGTCAAGCGTATTCTTACTCCTTACAGGAGATGACGTACTATGAGTCGAGGGAATAAATTATTAATTTTTTTTACAGATCCTTCTGTTCCAAAGGACCAATGCTCCTCAAAAGTACCAGAGTTAAATAAAACTGATTACTTAATAACATTTAGCATTAACTTAAAATTCTAATTATTAGATATCCTAATGACCTACACATTCTGTTTAAATATATATATCTATCATTTTCCTATATACTGGTATTGCAATCTTGGTCCATCCATCACTTTACCTGTCGTCTTCCCGGGGCGCCGTCTGCGACCGGCTCCCATCACATCAAAGGCCTGGCCGGTGTTGATAAGTTGAACCAGCTGATCCATGACTTCGGTGTTGCTCTGGTCGTTGGTGACGTCATGAAGGGCCCGTTGTCTGGTGTCTCTCTCGGCACGGTCCACTTTGTCCCGTTCAGCACGTTCACGAGCCTCCCGGTCCCTCTGACGCTTCTCCTCCTCCTTAATGACATGTTCTTTGGCTTTCTGTGAAAATCATACAAAGAAATGGGTCACAACATTAACAAATCTAAACTATTGTACACCAACACTTTCCTACAGCACAAGCCTAAAGAATATCAGCTTCAAATTCAGATTTAAAAAAATAATTAAATAAAAAATTAAATAAAAATTGAAGGAATCTGATGAGTCACTGGTGAGACCAAATCTTTGACATAGATGAAGAGGATCCAACAGTGTTCCCATCAAGGCAATAATCACAGATAAATAAGCTTGAGAAAGAACAGTACAATCAGTGCAAAGTGAGGACTACTAATGGAGGTTTTGGAGGGAATTGGAATGTTTCTAGGAGTTGTGGAAGTATAGAATAATGAATTTTTATAAAGGTATTTCATATAAACAGTTGCAATCCTCTTCTCTTAGTCTATGATACAATCTATACAGCAGCTAAATCAAGATCATCATTAGAAAAAGAAAACAATAAACTTTCTTACTTTGTATAAAAGAATGAATTCATTGATGTCTCTGAAGAAATCCTCCTGAGCGTATTTATTAACCTCAAAGGTAAACAGTTCAGATACCTCAATGTACTTCTTCTGCATCATTTCAAACTCAGTCTCAAGGAGAGCCAGGTCTTCTTCTGCTGCTCTATGAAACTCTTCAAACCTTTCTTGAAATCTGAAAGTTTAAAAAAAATAAAAATCAACAGGCAATTAATGATACAGTACAGTATTTCCATCGCCTCTTCTTCAGGCATTATATAAACATTGAGAAAATAACTTAACCTTAAAAAGATTAGTATTAGATGAACTACAGAGATATAACTGTAGGTAGGAGGCTTGAAAACTGGTGCAGCACACAATATTATTACTGCACGTATAACTATTACTACCATAAACACATTTTGTAAACAATGGGCTATAAATATCCTCCTGTTCATATGCAGTCCTTCCCTGGTCTTCCCTCCCTCCCTATGTTGTACTAGAGTCGTTACAAATTAAGCCCAGGGATATTTCAACTCCATCCATATTACTGAATTTCACTAGCTGATATACTGTACTCTGTGTTTACTCCACTTATAACTGGAATATAATTTCTTAAACATATTTGACGTATTTTCATGTGCATTTCAATTTTTTTATGTGTTTTTAAATGAGGACATGTTGAACTCTGTAGAGAAATAGAGTTTTCTTCCTACCATAGATAAAATACTGAGTTGTTGATGCAAGTATTGAGGTGACATAGTGAATTGTACTAATAGGCTTCATGTATGAACACAAGTGGAGTGCTCCCAGGCAATGATCAGTCACCCAGGGATATGACAGCTGGCACTTGAAGTACTCATGGCTTATCTACAACCAAAACTTCCAAATACTGCCTTCATACATAACATTTACAGCCATTTTTGCCGATGCCAAGTCTCATTCTGGATATGGCAGGCTTAAACTAAGTTCGTCTTCTTTTGTTTTAATAGCATTCCATCGTCATTTTTTTTTTTTTTTTTACGGGGATTAGCCCACCCGGGCACAGGTCACTGACCCACATCAGGGCCCGGGGGGCGAAAATTTAATAATAATAATAATTCATAGTAAATAAAATTTATAATAAAAAGTAAAATAAAATATTAATGGTAATAATAACAACACTGTTATAATAATAAAAACAAAGAAATGCAAGAATGAAAAAAAATCAACAGTGAGAAACACTATATGTATGTTGTTTTGTCATGTAATAGAAACAATTGAGACCCTGCAATTGTGTAAATGAGGCAGAAAGTCAGATCAGCAACCTGGGACTTGGTCACAATTTTCGTGATGCCATATGGCAGCAGGGTCTACCATTAGACAACACATTATGCTGCCAATATCTTCCCAGGCGGTAGTACCTCCCTGTTCGGTAGCTGCCTACTACCTACTCTTCTTAGTACAGTACTGTAAATTTAAATTCCACTAAATTATACGTGGTATTGTACTTCATTCTCAATTCCACTCTTATTACCAATTTTAAACCTTATGACCTTTTCAGCTTTTCCTTTTGGTATCTTTATAATCAATATCCAATTTCTGGTTCTCATTTTCTCTAATCAATTCCAACATTCTTCAGCTCTATTTCACCTTAATAACTTCTTGCACCTCACCTTACCATGCCCTTCTCTCATTATCATTCCACACACTAACATTCAATAAATATTATGCAATATAAATAAAATAAAAACAAAAGAAAAACAAACCTGTCTTCTGGATCCTGCTTGGTATGTCTATGGAGATCATTGCCAATATTCTTTATTTCTTTCTTCATCTTACCAATGTTTGCCTTTACGTTATCAACATTCACACGTTCTGCATCAGAGAAATGCAAAAGTCCATCTTCGAAATCGGCACTATCTGTTTCTTCTTTAACCAATGTTTCAGCGAGGTAATGTAACAATGTGTGCCCCTCTGCATCTTTTGTGTTTGCCAGCTTGGGTAGAAAACTAATGTCAAAGCCTAACGTGTCTGCATTTCTTGACCCAGCATTGAGAACATTGCCAAACTCAAGAATGTAAGATAAAACCTTCTCAAACTTTTTGGAGTTAATCAATTCATCAAGAGCTGCTTTAGTATTGACAATGTCGAGCCTTGTTTCTTTAACTAATGATGGGTACTCTGTTTTGAAAGCCATGTTCCTCAATAAAGGCACTAGTTTCTTAATCTTGCCAATCTTATGCAAGAAACGTTCTCCTTCAGCCAAATCTTCTTCATTATCTTCCACATTTACTAGTTTCTTAATTATCTCATGGTCAGGTAGGGCAGCAATTAAAGTCTGAAGAGTAGAAGAGTCAATATGGCCAGAAGAGTCTGTACACAGGATTCCTTCATCACACTGTAATATGGCAAGCCGTATGTCGTCTAAGCTCATGTGCTTGAACTGGCCACGTAAGGCAATAGACAGATTCTGGTTCGTTTTTTGGTCTAGTACTCTCAACTCTTTATCCTTCTTGGCAGTTTTGTCAATTTGATCTACAGCTTTCTTTTTCACCTGTTTCACTGCAAACTGCTCACTAAGGTCTTTTAACACATCTTGTTTGATTTTATTTTCCTTCTTATTGAGACGAACCCAAAGACTCTTTTCACTCATTTTAACTGGCAATAACTTACTCCACTGAAGACGCTTTGTTTGAGCAGAAGGCTTAACAGTTTTTTTCAAAGTCATACCATATGGGAGGACATTGGGGGCAGGACCTTTTATAAATGGCATGCCTGGAGGAGGAGGTGGGCCACCCATACCCATGGGTGGTGGTGGTGGTGGACCACCCATGCCTGGTGGTGGAGGGGGTGGCGGAGGACCCCCACCCATACCTGGTGGTGGTGGAGGAGGTGGTGGGCCACCCATGCCTGGTGGTAGTGGAGGAGGAGGTGGGCCACCCATGCCTGGTGGTGGTGGAGGAGGAGGTGGGCCACCCATGCCTGGTGGTAGAGGTGGTGGTGGTGGTGGACCACCCCCACCTGTTGGTGGAGGTGGAGGAGGTGGGCCACCCATCATCTGCTCTAAACCTGGCACTGTTGGTAAACCTCCCTTTTTAGTGGGATCTCCGCCATGCTTAAGAGCCTCCTCCAACCTAGTTTTTGCAAGTGACAGTTCTGCTTCTAGTTTCTGATTTTTGGTAAGAGCTTCTTCTAATTGTATTTGATATTCTGTAGCAAATTTTTCATTCTTTGAACGAGTTTCTTCCTTGAACTGATCTAAGAGCTGATCTACCTTAATCTCAAATCTCTTTGTGGCACGGAAGTCTGGATCACATCCATTTCTGTGTAAGACTATCTGTGAAACACACTCTTCTATGATCTTATAATAAGCAGATCTAACATTTTCATCATCCCTGATGAATGCCAAATGCTGCAAGATGGACAGGAGGGGTGTCTCACAGTTTGAGTCTTGAACCTGATGTCGCACGATATCAAAACACCTACCCAGGTCTTCCATTTCATCTACGTGTGTGAAAAATCTATCTTGCCAGTCCTCAAAGTCTTCTAACCGTTCCTTGTCAAAAATTTCTAGTTGCTTTTTTATATCTGCATGCTCACTACTTTGTAAGATCTCCAGTAAATCTTGTAAACCTGTTCGCATGAATTCATTTCTTAAATGCAATCTAAAGTCCAAATTATCATCAGGAACAAAATTGATGAGGGCATTGACAAGGACAAGACAGCTGAGCCTTAGGGGGTCATTACCCTGCATGCCCAGCCCCACAATGATGGGTGTGAACCTCTCCTGCTTCTTAAGTTCTCCTACGATGGTAATTGCATCAAGAACTTCTCGGTGACCATCGAGTGCATCCTGCTGCCACAGAGGTAGACAGAAACTTCCCATAAGTCTGAGCACTTCCAACATAATTGCTGGCTTGGATGGATTAAGACTCTGTGCCAGGAGTGTGAATCCTTCTGGTTGGCCAAAAAACTCCTTAATGCCCATTATATTATTGCAGATTACTTTGAGGCATTTGATGGCTTCATACTGAACACTGTCCCAGTGTTTGTTATTGTTTCCACTGAAATCAAAATCAAGATATTAGAGGCTGAGAAATTAATAATTTAAGCAATGCTATTCATTACAGGTATTACATATACTACAGTACTGACAAAATACAGGGGGCCCCCTAAATTCGAGGGGGTTGGGTTCTCAAAATGGCCATGAATAGCCAAATCCGCGAATAACATTTGCGGATCGTGGGGGGGTTACGTTTTTATTTGCATACAAAGAAATGTATTATTCCCTTATGTGTTTGCCCTTAGGACAATTATTTATTATATATATATATATATATATATATATATATATATATATATATATATATATATATATATATATATATATATATATATATATATATATATATATATATATATATATATATATATATATGTGTGTGTGTGTGTGTAGACACACACACACACACAAAACACATACAGATAAATAATAATGGGAAAATATTCTCACAAATAATCAGAAACAAATTTATTAAAAATGTGACAGTCTACCCTCAAGTCCGTGCTTTATTAATAAAGTAATAAAGTACAGACTTGAGAGTAGACTCACATTTTTAATAAATTTGTTTCTGATTATTTGTGAGAGTATTTTCCCATTATTATTTATCTGTATGTGTTTTGTGTTTTGTGTGTGTGTCTACACACACACACATATTTACAATATCTTGTACAGGTAAAGGAAATTACTGTCTCTAGAACGAATGACTCCCAGTCCCAGCCGCGAAAATGCCGGCATCTTTAAAACTACCTTCAGATATTCTTGGGTACATCCAGGGTGTCATCCGCGAATAATAGAGGACCGCGAAATAAAAATCCGCAACTTGGGAGGGCCCCTGTATAATGAAAAACCAACATACATTCTCTATTCTTGGTTAGGATATCAGTAACTCACTACAGGTATTTGTAAGAAGGCAATTTAGTTCTGCCTTCAAAGTCTTCTATCATTTAGTGAATTACAGGAACACCCAGTTAACAAACAGGTAAGGGAACATAGGACCAGTTTGCAAGGCAAATGTTCGGAACCTGAAAGCTAGTTCCCCTATGGAACCACGTAGTTAAGGGGGGATAGATATAATCATCCTTTTTGTGGGTCTCTGAACCTGAAGGACAATGAAAAAAAATATAAGAAAAAAGCAGCTAGTGCAGCACATGCTACCTTATGATGCATACTATGTACTACTTATGAAGAAGCTAAAGCCTCTATCAAAATTTTATACATATAAGTCAATTAACAAAAATTACTTAACAAAGAAAATTAAACTATAGTAAACTAACTACCCCAGTATTACCACATTACTCTCCCTTTTAATAACCCCTTCTCTGAGGTGCTGTAGTTGTACCCCTTGATTCCCTCCAGATAAAACTAAGGGAGAAATAAAGGTATTTAACCTTTTCACATTATCGACAACTGAGCAAATCTCACCCTCACTCTGGCCGTCACCCAAATCTGGTTGCATCATTCAAATCTCACCTACTTGCTGGCTGTATTGGAGCTGGGCTTTTTGGTTTAGTAAAGTTGCAGAATCAACAAGTTTTATATGTACAGTTGCCTCCATTTATAATGGGTACAGTGGCTGGCATGTTTTGTGAGATGTGGCACCACTGTTTTAACACTATTTCCTCTCAACTACATCAGTATTAAAACATGCAACGATTTTGGAACACCGAGTCTGAACCTTCATCAAAAACATGCCAGTGCCTACAGGTTAAAACCACATAATTATTCACAGATTATGCATTGCTTACCAAACACAAGTGTGTTGGTGCACCTGACCCCTACCCCTCCCTCCCTTCCTCTCTCCTCCATCTCCTTACGTGATACCACCTTGCCACACTGACACTGCCCACCAGTCAACAGATAAAAGCCAATGATGTTCTCCTTGGTAATCTATATCAAAACTATAACCATGCAGGAAATGTGCACATTTACAGATAGAGCAGACTGCTTATTTAGCATCCTTGGTCTGGTTACTATAGCGAGGGTAGTTTTGCCCATTCTGCTAGTTTTACTACAGTGGTGCCACATCTCACAAAACACATTAGCCACTGTACTCATTAATTATAAATGGAGACAACTGTACATTTGTTGGTTGTGCCCAAGAGGAGCCAGCAGGAGGTCTGGGAATTGTCAGGCTCTTAGCAACACTCCCTATCTCACCGGCAAGTGAGAGGGTTAGGTCTAATTAGAGTGTTCCCATGAAAAGCAAACTAAATTCTTATGCCCTGACACGTGAAGTGTTTACAATTCTAATGTTCTGGTTGTCTAGAAATTAATATAAGATAAAATGAAAAAAGAAGGAGAGAGAGAGAGAGAGAGAGAATGACAAATATAAGAAGGTTAAATGATACCAGAGACCAGGGCAAAGAACAGTCGGTACAGTACAAAGTATAACCAATTAACTGCATCATCATTACTTACCTATCTTGCCCACTAGGAATAGCAGTCGTCGGAGGTGAGGGGGAGAAAAATGGTATTGTTAGAGCTGAGATACAGTACAGAGTCTTCAGGCAATAGAAACATGCTAAGGAGCAATAACAAAAATTAAAAGCATACATGAGCTGGATGCAATGTGCTACTCTTGTTTTTAATAAAAGTTTGTGAGCAAAACTTAAAGACACCATAATGAAGAGCTACTGCAGTTATACAAGCAATAGTAAAAAAGAAAATAGAGCAGATGTATAATGTCCTCCAACCTCATACTTATTTTGATATACTTTACTGTAAAAATAAGACAACCACATTATGACAAAATTATTAAGAGGAATGGGGAATTACTGATGCATGAAACTAAAGTGTCTAATGTTGGTCGGTTAAGTTATATATTTTAGACAGTTGAAAAAGAAAAAAAAGAAAAGAAAAAGTAGCATACAGTAATAATGTTCGTGTACAAGTCCAACCGAGAAAAACAGATATACAGGTATACTGTACATCAATAAGTTTAATAAGGTTATTCTTTTATCATCTGGTTTTCCTGTGTAATGATTTTTTGAATTAAGTACATTAGTAGTGGAGTATGACAGGCCAACATACCAATTGATTAATATAAACAAAGTATATTGACTAGTGTTACAGGACCATATACCCTAATACCCCTTGATACACAGGTCGGTATACTGTCACACCACACATCTCATATCAGTACTGTATTGTGAAATGTCTGAGAGGCAGTAGAGACAGCAAACTAAATGTAGAACATGTAATTCAATTGAAGCTGTCATTTAAATATTTTTTCTCCAAATAATTACTGGTACTCTCCACTGATGGAATCAATTTTTTCCATTCATATTGTTAAGAACCAAATCCACCTATTACAGCAGTAAGAACATTATGAATAACAAGTGAATGGTGACTGTGTTGTATGTGTGCTTTCTTTTGTTTCCTGACTTTCTGGAAGGTTATAAGAGTGATACTTTGATCGGAAAATGACAACACCTTTACCATGATCCAATTTCACAGCAATAAAAATGATCTTTTATATGAAGTAAAATCCCAGAAAATGCTGTGCAAATAACAACAAAATAGATAAGTACATTTGTAAGGACTTGTAATTCAGTCAATAATGTTATCTTTTAATTAACTGCATTAAAAAAAGTTAATAACCTTTATTTCTGGTTGGACTGTTACCCTTCATGTAAGATAAATTAATATATAAAGCTTCTACTCCATCACTCACTATACTGTAGCTAAGACAGAGTATCTCGCCTGCTGTGCATAATGAAGATGCATTTCCAGTATAAAAATCATTGGGTTTGGGGTTGTGAAAATAGAACTGGATAGAAAAGGTTAATATGGTATCTATTATTAACAACAACTACAACACCTGGATAATGCACTTCAAGCAAGCGAGCTAAAAAAAAAAGGAAGACAATAATATCTTCGTTAGCCGGAATCTTTCAAACCCGGAACTCTCAGATAGCCGGAATTGAAATTTACTCGGAAAATCATTCCCAAAGCCAGAAAATTCCGGCATTGGGAAAGATTTTCCGGGATTTCCCGGGAAAAAAAATCCCGAAACCCGGAAATTCCGGGGATGAGGGATGATATAATAGGCAATATCTGGAACTTCCAAGAACATTTTTCTGTTATCCGGAAAATTCCGGGGACGAGGGATTTTTTTACGGCTTTGAGAGTCGTCTCTTTACCCATAAATTCCTCATTCCTGGAAGTGCTCTGCACCAATTGTTCTGGCTAACGAAGATATCACTTTATATGGATGTTATGCATTCTTGTATCATCTATTTGAAAAGGTAGAAGGTGCTAAAGAAGATGCAAAAGTGACTATCTACTGCATACTACAGTATATTATTAATTCCACCATGACACTTGCATTATTTCTTAAAAAAAAAAAGATTAGGAATAAAAATAATTATAATAAATTCTCACCTTCTGTAACACTCGTTAAGAATACTTAATAAGGTTCTTAGACCCTTTCGACTAAATTCTTGCACCCATTGTATACGGTTACTGCGAAGAGCTACTTGTAAACTCTCAAGAGTTTTGAAGATTGCTTTTACGCTGAGGTCATCACGCTTCAAGTACTCTATGTAGTCTGTGGGCGTCTCAAATTTGTGTTGGGTCTGAGCCATCATCTGAGGAAAAGGCCACATTGCACACTTACAATGCCATACCTACAGTATAAGAAGGCAACAGCAGGCATGCCTCATTGCAACAAGATAATCCATTGACACACTGTAGTGCACTGGAACAATTAACATGCTTGCATTCTTGCCCTGAGGATAACAACATGCACATCATGTTAATACTCAGTTAACAGAAATAGTTCTTTACACTAAGAAAATCAACAGGAACATCTTTTTGTACTAGTATTATCAACAAGCCTACCTTATTAAACAATTAACATAAATAACTTACTGCAGTCAGACAATCAACAGGCTTGACAAACTGCACATATAAAATGGTTAGAATGATCGTCCCCTCAAGGAGAATTCTTGCACACCTATGAGGCAATTACTGTACTATAGATGGTGATGACGAAGCTTACCTTATGATTACTGGCCAACATAATCCTCATTTTTTCCACTGGTGTCTTCATCATGACACTCTCATTAGGAATATTCATGTCGGATAACATCTGCTGGAACCGTTCTTTGACCTGTCATAAAAAATGAGTTCACCACACATAAAATATTCATTCAAACTGGACTACAACTTATAGATTAATAGTCAAGTTCTCTAGACCACATCTGGATAATCTTAGATGGTTTAAGACCCATCTGTGGAAGCAATGAAGTGATTACACAATAAATTCTCCCAATATGTTCTCTTACTTCCATGTACTGTATCTAACAAACAATAACCATATTATTACCTCTTCATCACCAAGGTTATCGATGTTGTACTGGTCTTCTTCTATTTCATTAAGTTCTAAGTCAGAGTTTGGTCTAGGAAGGTGGCTGCCACGTTCCTTCCCAACTGTCTTTTTCTTGGAGGTACCAGCAAGCATTTTGTCCATAGTTTTCAGCTAAATATAAAAAAATAGAAGAGCATTAAAACTACAAGAAAAGATATGCAAATATATTTTTATTCAAAGTTCTGCATTACTGTAGAACTGGCTTGCTAAAACATCTCCCTGGACAATTCCCACTGAACAGAAGACCCTGATGATACTTGCTTTTTGATACATGTCATCAAAGATATATTATTTAGTCAGTGGATTAATGCTAGCCAGCCAGCCTTGTCTAGGGGGTTCCTGGGTTTTAAATCTATACAGGGTAGTCTTGTCTGAGCATTACACGAGTCATCTGAGTCGGGTGCTAGGTCATAAATAAGACACTGCAGTTTATCAACACCCTACAGTACTACAGGTTAGAACATTAAAAGAAAATTGTAACTGTCTTCTAAAAAAACAAAAAAACATACAAATACTGTACAGTATACCTTATTCATCTTCAAAACATTAAGTAAATATTTATCTTATAAATAATGTGCAGTATATTGACAATAACAGTTGCTAAATTCATAGTAAAACAATGGGATGAAGATGATAAACTGGCTAAGTATTGTACAACTACTTTTACATTACCATATTGTACTATATATTGTGGTTAAGTATGGTACTGTACAGTGTAAGCTTTACAATTTCATCATCAGAATTTTTTTATTTTGAGATTTATTTAAATTTTTTTCTCAACATTATACTTTAAATAATAATTTCTGCACTGTATTAGCTATGTACTCATGAACCAGTCTCCTAAAAAGTTGAGATAAACTTACAAAGCTCGCAGATTTGGATTTGTCGCCGCGAGACATCTTGCCGGTAGGGACGATACGTACAACTACACTACAAACAGGGTCAAATTATTCTTGGTTTGTGCAGCTACATTGGATTTCTACACTGCCACTGCTTAGCCTGTAACAAAAAGATCCTATACAATCATTTAAGAAACAAAGGCTCATATAATGATTGAAATGAAAAGAATTAAAGGAGAAAAAAGATAAAAACCACAAAAATGATTGGCAGTAATACAATAAAATGTTGATACTGTATCTAAAAAATCTATGAGTCCATCTACAGTATTAACAGATAAACATTCATGAAGCAAGTCATTCTAATATAATTATATGACATAGGATACTGTACCAATGTGTAAACGTATACGGTACCGGATATATCATTTACAGTACATACAGTCATGGCCAGGGCACAGTGATTAGGATGACTGATATTGGAAATACTGTATATACTGTACAGTATTTAAAGATATACTGTAGAGTATACTTTAACTGCTATATATACAATACAGTATATTTAATTACATAAACTATACCAAATAATGTAGATAAATCTAAAGTAAATAATTATGAAGATAAAATGTGAAAAAGGTTCACTTAAATAAACAATATACTGTACTGTAGATGGGTACCAAATTCCTAATATCATTTAGTATTTGTCTTCAACAGTAGGACTTGTAGGACTTTGTGAGAATATAAATCTTCCCTACATTCTTTCACTCTTCTGTACAGTAATACTAAATATTTTACATCTGTTATCATAAAACTTTGAGGAGCTTTTTTTTTATAAGAGATAGTGATAAAACAATGAAACACTGTGGAAGTATGAAGGGGGGACAACAGTAGTAGAGAGCATTTAATCAAAGAGTCTTGATACATTAGCTATGGACTGATACAACTGTACACATTTGCATGCACTTCCATGAGTTAAATTCTTAGCATAAAGTGAATACAGTTTTCAATTATTGCAAACTTTTAATTTATCATGCTGTTGAAGTGAAAAAGTGTGTGTGTGTGTGTGTGTGTGTTATTGCATGTACAAGCATTCAGGCATTTGTGATTGGGCATGAGTATACCGTACTGTACCATATATGAAGTCAGTTAACCCTTGTGTGAGTTAATAGCCTTCTTAAAATGACATGAGAGTTACACATACTTACGGGGCTTACACACTTTGATAAAATATCAGGCCATTTCCTGTCTGAATATGACACCAACTCCTAAGAATAAACCACACACCATGAACTCATTTTTATGGTAATTGAAACCACTTCACTGCTACCACCATGACAGCTAACTATATGACCAGCAAACCCAAAAATAATCTTCCTGACTGCTTAGAATTCCTTGTATGAGATGATATGTACTGTACTGGTAATAGATATACATCCACTTGAACACATTCATGTAAGTCAGATCACTGTGTTGTGTCACATTTAGGTGTATACTGTACAATATACAGTAGTTTGTTCTAGAATTCTTCACAGTTAGATGCAATCTGTACAGTACAGTATAATACACTGGAGATAGAAAAGCACTTTTTGGCTATCAATCATTTTAAAACAATAAGTTCTTAATCATTAAAACAGCATGATGTAATAGGCTGACCAAATATGTACAGTACTGTGTAAGAAAAAAAAAATGCAATTCCTGTAGCTACAATAGTCACCAGCTACTGTATAATACACAGTCTGATCTTCCAAAACTCACACCTAATGTCCAGGACACCCAAGAGGGGCAAAGGGCTTAGTGGTTTCAGTACCTGTAGCTCCGAGCAACATGATACACATTAATCCTACTGTGGATAGCAGCTAAGCAGGTTGCCACATGTCAACAGAAATTATATATATGATACTCTACTATTCACAATTACTGTACCGTACAGTAAATATGTACATTTGCAAGAGAATATTTCTCTATGATAAATAACATCAGACAGTCAAATATATATTCTTAATAATAATAAAGTATTAAACAAAATATACTCAGGAACTGCATAACAGTTCAAGGGATCCTTTCTTCCACCAAAATAATAATAATAGCTAATACCATAAATTAAAAATACAAATCTCACTAAAATCCAGATAGATTCATTTCTAATAGTGTACAAAATACTTGTACTGTACAGGTAACGTCTCTCCACAGTGGTGGCAACTTGACCGACGAATGACACACAGTGCAGCAGAACACTTGTGCACATATGAATCAACAGGTGTGCACATTTGTGTGGGGGGTGTGAAAGGAAGGTTGGAGGGGGGTTCATGGCTACAGTCATCATAATACACAAGTGTTATTCTTTACACCATTCTTACCATAGGTAAATTAGTAAAAATTCATATCTTATGAACCTAATCAGGTACTAGACATAAGAGATTGCTATATTATACTGTAAATCCTTTTATACCTGAACTAGCCATGACCTTGGGGGATATAGTATATTCAAGCTATACAGTATACAGGGTACATATTCAGGTCCAACTGATTCTGCCTCTTCTGACACAAAATGCTTAAATTTATATAATCCTTTGCCTTTTATACCAAATTCCCATTACTGTTCATTTATACACCAAGTGGCTGGCCTAACTATCCCTAGCAATAATAGCATGAAATTTAACTCTTTAGCAACTAACAGAGCTTGAGAATTGTCATTTAAGGGGTTGACTTAATTGCTTAATTGTTTAAGTAACATTAGCAAAACAGTCTGCTTCAATGGCCAGTTCTGAGACATGAGCTCAAACACATGCTGTGAGGAAAGGGTAAATAATGATAGACTAAGCAACTGCCAAAGCAATTCAGGTGTAGGCACACTGTGGTAAAATATACTTTATACATTTATGTTACCCAATTTTAAATTAATATGGACTGCTGTTACTCCTATGAGGAAATAAATTATCTGTACAGTACAATGTTTCTTAGTTCACTCCATATTTTTCTACCTTGTTTTCCACCTGATTCACAGTAAAGGTATGGTCCTATTATACTCTAGAACACTGACTCGTGAGAAAGAACTAAAATTTTATAAAAAATAAACTTTTTTTAAACCTGAACAAAAAAGAAAAAAGAAAACAAAAGTGGAGGAATTGCAGCTTGCATGCTTGGACGACACCATGTTTGCAATCATCTTGTTGACAATAGGGTAGGGTAGGGTAGGGTAGGGTAGGGTAAGGTAAGGTAAGGTAAGGTAAGGTTAGGATAAGGTTGGAGAGGTTTGATTGGTTTATCTATAATAAATCATGTCGCTGGAAAGCATACACAGTTTAGGTATGAAACATAGCCAAGGTAATATATCTCCGAACTAATAATATAATAATTTCTGTAAATCATTATTATTTGTTGGTATATTATTAACAAAAAGGTATTTATAATTACCTGTACCAAAAGGTTCAAAGGTTGGTGTTGCTGTTTCTTGTGTAGAGGACAAAAGAATTAATGCTAGTGGAATGTTTGTCTTCAGGCACACACATAAACAAATCAAGTCGTAATCGTAGATTCGTGTTCAGGAAGGGAAAAAATAGGACAGTTGCCATCCTTGTCCTCTTTTACAGATAATCATGAGGAAAACAAGTTTTTTGCTACACAAAATTTTCCTAAAATTGTTCTTTCTCATAATTCAGTGTTCTAAAGTATTGCGGAGGTATTTTATTAGCCATGGATTTAATCAACAGGTATAATAAGCCGGTGGATAATCTTCAGGCGATCCGACTCTTGAAATATATTCAGATTTGTAAAATAAACATAATAGCGAGAGTTCACGTGAAGTGGATGACACGCCCATGTGGCAACAATAAGGACTATCACTACAACAAAATAGTTTTAAGGTAAACTATGATCATTCTAATCTTAACTAAACGAACCTAACCTAACCTAAAGCATAATATATTAATTAATATTTATGATGTTTAATCACATTTGGTTCAAGTTACCTGCTGGAATCTAATGTAAGATAGAGCTTTATTATTTTATTATTATAACATCAACTTTAACACAAACTTTGGTACTATATCATATGTGTTTTGCTGTTGGTACATCACATCTCTTAACATGAACTGTGTATTATGTTATCTTGACAATCTTTATCAATTGTTAATATTTCCCCAGTTTATCACGGTTAAATATCCCAGTTTTGTTGACCCACATTAAGAGGTGACCACAGCCTCCACCAGGTCATGTGTGTGTTAACTCCAAGGGTGTAACTTTGCTTTAGTCACTTATTGTTTATGACATTGAGGGATCCCATATAATAAAAACCTTAATTAATTATAGTTCTTGGTATAAATATAATCAACTGTCAAGGACCAGGTTGTTGTGAAGGGAGTCGTTAGGTCAGGCCTCGCCCATCCTCCAGTCAACACCTATGAGGGGTCACTGATGCTCCTCCCCTCACTCTGACCCCCCAACAAGGTCATCCTGCAGTACACTACACATCAATTAACGACCTACAGTACTCAATAACCTAATAACATCATCTTAAACAACATCCACCAACGGACTCTGTACCTGAGGTCGCCGCCATCTTGACACACACCCAACCCTTAAACACCTCTCATGTTATAGTGAACCACAGTTATTATCTACTGAAGAGACTATCCTATAAAATATATGTATATTATATTGATTTATTACAATTATAATCACGGTGTTTCTTATTAACTCTTACAGTCATTATATTCTTAAATAACATAAGATGAGTGAGGGAAATAAAAATTATTATAGAGAAATAATATATATCTTTATTTAAATATCTAATAAACATGTCGGATTATGCTTTAAAATGGGGTATTTTATGTATTTAAGTAGTATTTTTACCTGTATTAAACATCTCTTTTATATAACACGTACTAGCCCAGCCTGTGGTGACCCCGAGGTGTTGTTGTGGTGGAGACGTTTGATCCTTCCTCCTGGGGACACTTTACACCTCTCCTCACCCTCCTAGACCTTTCCTAACGTCCTGGAGGTATTCAACAATGTCTTTACAGTAAGTGACAGTTTGTAACCTAGTAACTTTGGGTTTGGTCTATGATGGGACTTTATAGTATATACCCAAACTTATCCTATTGAGGTCTACCCTTACTGTAACTAAACCAAATTATCTCTTACCTAAATAATAAACCCAGGTGTAGGGCTCTGGGATCTATTTTATGGTAAGGGTGTGTTGGTGGTGCAGGGTTAATGCTCTGCCTCGCCCTTGTGTCCAGGCTTCGAGTCTCGATGGTCAGGTGTGAGAAAGGTGTGCTATCCAGTGTGACCCTAAAGAACATTGCAGGTTTTATCCAGGTTCTTATATTTCCTCCTTTATTAAGTTTACTAACGCTGGATAATGAAGGGCGTAACAAAGTACAGACCGCCCGTCCGAACAGCGAGCAAGCTGATGAGTGATATTAATTGTAATTTATATTGTAATCAAACTAAGTTTCAATTAAAAATAAGAATTCATCCCTTATCCCAATGTGCCAAAATGTTTAAAGTCCAATGTGCCCCATCTGGTAATTAGATTGATCGACTGTTGAAAGACGGTGTACAGATTTCATATTTGTTGTTTGACATCAGCCACTGAAGGTATGCAGAGAATCAGTAATTATTTCTTGTTAACAGGTAACCACTCTACATTTGGAAGAAAAATAGTGAAGCTCGATAATAAAAGAATGGATGGATACCCCTCAAAGTTAGCAGGAGAGTTACATACATACAACTACAGCAGCGGTTCACAACATTTTAATTCTGCTTCAACTGGAATTTCAACACCTGTTCAGTCCATGTCATCAACAACTCCATATATGGCACAGCAAACTCATTCTTCTAGTCAAGTAAGTGAAATTTATTTAGTGGAAATATTAGTATAATTGGTATTAATCTAATGTTCTGTCATTTGTTACAGAGACATGTTATATTACATCAATCACTTGCTTCACTCCCAGAAAAGCAAGTATTCCAGGTATCCATTAACTCTGCAGTGAGATTATCTTTTGGGAGAGTCGCTTTTCATGACTGTATTATTTCCGCAGTTAGAGAGCAACACAGCAGCACCAGGAACTAGCTTACAAGATGACTTTAGTGAAGGAAGTAGTGTTGGGGGAGGTGGAGGACGAAAGAAAAAAAAGAAGCAGAAGAGTGGTGAAGACCCAGGCACCTCGGTTAAACCTAACATGTTGGCTGAGGAGGAGCTGGCTGATCCTGCCGTACCCTTACTAACAGAAAATCAAGGTGTGATATACTGTAGTTTGTTATATTACATTGGTTGCCCTCTGTAAAAAAAACAAAACACATATTGGTACTTGGTTACATTCCTGTTAACATGCCAACTTCCTTCAGGCTGTACTCTCTTAAGATAAGGTGTCATATCAAGATCAGGTCAATCTTATCTCTCTTTTATGACTGAAATTGTTTGTGATATGGTGAAACTTTTTGTTCTTTACTATCCTTTCTAGAGCCATTAACTGTATTAAATTTAGGTTATTTTATTTTAAAGCTATGATGGCATTTCAAGGTTCCTGTTTTGATTTTTTAATTCTTGTACATAATTAGCTTTTTCTATTTTCATTATTACTGTATCATACTCTTTCATTTGCATGACTGGAACATGGTAACTGCATTTCATTCTACCCGTCTTCGATGTCACATTTTTGTAAAGTAAATGTTTTATAACTTTCAAAGTTTTTTAATAATGAATATATAAAAAAATCATGATAATGAGTGCTTTATGATGAGGTACAATGTTATTGATGTGTGTGTGTATTGTCACTAGGTCACCTTTATACATTGTATTATGCATTTATTTTTAAATTCTGGCAAAACTTTCTGGGTTTTTCACACAAAGATAAGAGATATATGCATCCCTTCACTTCCCCATTGGTTAAATCGCATATATAACACTGCATAAAGTAACATTCACAGTTAACAATATGATGTAATAGGCCGAGAGATAATGACTGCATGGGTAGCACACATAAATAAAGAGCGGTTAAACTCCCAAAATCTCACTCACATTCAGTCTGAAACTGCATTGATTCTTGAACGTTATTGATTTTTTAGCTTTGACAATACAGTACTCATAAAACATTTAACATTATAACTACAGATTTAAATATTTTTAATATAGTAAACCCCTGCTTTACGCGGTTTCACTTTACGCATTTCCACGGTACCCTGCCGAAACCGGAATGCTCACTTTCCGCGGTGTGTGTACCCTTTTACGCGGAGAGCGGGGCGAGCAGGGTGCGCACAAGGTCGCCCAGTCATCAAAACATTACCGAGTTCTTCACCCGCCACCCACCACAGCCGGTCCAAGTCAGTGATAGTGATAATGATAGTGAGGATATGGACTTAAATGGACTTTGAGGGGTTTGACAAAGAGGTCCTGCAAGCCTCTGTGGTGGATAGTGATACAATTGATACAAGTGATACAGGTTAGGGCCAATAATCTGCCCTCTGCCTCGGAACCAATCCCCCATCCCCGTGTGCCCAGCCATCTTTTCTACTAATGTAAGTGTTAAAAAACCTAATATTATTGATATTTCTCTTAATTATTAATTGTGTGTGCATACCATCATAAAATTAAGAAGTTATTTTTACTACAACGTAGGTATTGTGTCTGAAAAAGTGGAGTTTGGGGGTCGGCCCGGTCTCTATTTCAATTAATCCCATGTTATGTTGTTCACTTTACGCGGGCCGCCGTGGGTTCATTTGACCGCGTAAAGTGAGGGTTCACTACATGTACAGTATCCTAGCGGCACTTATTTGCCAGTCTCAAAATTTTAAAGTTCTTTTCCAGTACTTGCACAGATTTATCATTCTTAAACTGGCTGTAGTCTCTAGTTAGTATGTCTGAACAAGTTGGCGTTGTGCTCTGATGAAAATGAATGAGGATGTGGTGGCTGTTGGGTTGAGGTGTGCTTGAATATGATAATTATGATTGATTCAGATGAGATTAAATATAATTACTCACAAGTACAGTATCATACCTTTTATTATCCTGCATTACATTCATAGATGATGAATAAATATTCTCTCTCAGGTGTGGAAGATTTACTATTCCCAGCATCTTTGCCCCCACCTGGAGGAACACTAGTGGGGGGCCAGTACATGTTAAACAATTCTCTGCTGGACCAGATCCTTACAGAAAAGAAAATGGTGAGTGTATGAGCAACATGTTTATAGAGAATGTTTATTATATTTTTTCTTTTCTGCAGTCCATTTTAGGTGAATTTGTTCATGCCCATTATCCATGAGTGTATAGAATTGAGTATTGCCTAGACACTGTTGGATATGCTTGTGCCATTATGCTGTGCTTTTAAAGTTAACTATGCAATATTCACTTGTATAAATCCAATGTAGTGAGTGTTTTGTTAGGTTTTCTGTATACAGTACTATTGCCTAGAAAATGAATTTGGTTGTTCATAATTTGGATTCACATTTGAGTTAGTCACTAAAACTATTTCCCATTTTATTCTCTTCCAGCAAATACTACAGTCTCCAGAAGTAATAGAATTTTTGAAAAAACAAATGGCAAAGAAGTGATTTTTTTTTTTTAGGGTAAGTTATGCTAAGAATTATTTGTAAATTACACAATAAAGATATGTATGAAAATAAAGTGTATTAATTTTTGTAAAATGTGTCTAGTTCTTAGGGTATTACACACTCAATCTATCTAAAAGGAAAAAAAAAAGGTGCTCTTTTTGAAGAATAGACTTGTGGATACAGTATAATCATGTTCTTATGTAACAAAATATTACTAGAATTGCATTTTGTATTTTAAATCTCAGACTTTGTAAATTGCCAAGACTGATTCCCAACCCATTTTGATTATCCAGTAAAAACTTAATTTACTGTGTATGACCTTTTCCAGTACATTATTGAACCTTTTCTCCATGGAAAAAGACATGCATTTCCCATATTTGGCACTAAAGTCCCTTACAAATATATATATACAGTATATATATTGATGTAAATTTCATGTTTCTTAAAAAAAAAAAGGTGATTTTTACTCAAATTTGTACTAGTGTATAAGTTTGAATATCATGGAGAAGTGGAGTCAGGAATTGTATGTCGGTCAAAATACTCCAGAGACTTAAACCTAACAATGTGACTGAAAATTCATATGAAAATTCTCTTTAGTAAAATACCTGTAATGGAATCTGTGGGTGGGGTGTCTGATGAGGCAGCATTGTTGACTTGTACTGTATAATTCTCTGATCATTGTACCTCTTTTATGCCTTAAGAAAATACACTGTATAGTACAAGTTTTATGTACAAAAACACTAACAATACATGATCTTCGTGTTAGTGTATTAAATATAAGAATGGAACAAAGAGTGAGGTAACTTGCTTATATGTAGAGGGACATAAGTATATTTTTCCATTATTATAGGCAACACATATACACAACATATTTTGACACTATGGCATCAATAACTTACCTATATTATGGTGAGAACAGGGTTATGTCACAGATGTGTGTAGGAGTGTATCTGGTGACAATCAGCGGAGTGGTCTGAGGCTGTGTCAGTAGTGGCCTGATGTCAACACAGCTTCACCCCACCATTTTCCCCTCACATGTGGTCCAGACGTCAAAGTGCGGCAAATTTGAAGAGCGCAAAAGTTCTCAATTAACTAGGTGCACGAGAAAAGTTTTTTGATGGTTGCGGCATTAATGAGATCTTTGCACATCAGTTCAATTTGTTTTTAGTTGCACTTCAGTGGTTCACACAGTCAAGGGTTAAATGAAATACTTATAACGTACACTCACCACAAAAAGTTCTCGAACAGCTTGACACAACAGATTTCAGAGTGGGCACAATGGCTCGTGTCAACCGAGAATGGTTGGCATGCTCGGTTGCGAAGTGACTCAATATTTCATAATACACTTTATGTTGCTCGTCTTTATAGTATTTACAGGCGAAAAGAAGTAAATTTATTTGCAATAAAACTTCCTCAGAGCAATGTTCAGATTTCTCGTTTGTTTTGTCCTAGTGTATGACCCTTAGAGCGTTCGAGAACTTTTCGTGGCGCGTGTACTGTACATGAAATATATCCCGAGTTCTCATAAAAATGCAACTAAGACTTTTCATTGAATATTTAACGCAGCTGAGATTTCTATACCTCCAAATGTGTCTCGTACATCTCCCGGAAACATGGACCCTTTTCTTGTCTGAATTTGTAATGAACAATCTTTTTAGCAAATACAGTACAGTACTGTGTTTATTTAGAATCTAAACTTACAAGGGGCAACATCTACCAGTACAAATTATATGCAGTGGTTAATATTTCTCAGTAATGTACAGTACTCTTAAGTTTTATTGTCCCACTCAGCAGAATAAGTAAACCTTACAAGATACAGTATACTACGGCAATAACAGTACCATCAAACCTCTGGTGAGAAGGGAACACAAATAACTGGATAATAATGTGAATTTATTGAAAGTTTTTATTGTTAATAGAAGGCACCTGGTGAGCCATATTACTACATGGTAAGAATGTAATATAAAAGTTAATTATTACAGATTTGAGATCTTAATTGTGATTGTCCAAGCCATCTTTAACATTATGAAATATATAACACTTAAAAACTTTGGCACTTACAGGAAGATTTAAGTAAAATACACTCATGTGTATAAGACCAAAGACCTACCGGGTATGCTTCATTTACACTATCCTCCCTGCAAAAATTATTACCTTGGGTTTAGACTAACAAATGATATACAGTATGTTTGATAAAATGTACATATCAGTATAGTGTATCTTACTAATGCCTGTACCTGTGTGATGACTTATTAATTTCACATGAAAACACATATACAGGGGTACTGTATAATCAAAGCTTTCAGAGAAAAGCCTCTAATGCTGTGAGCACTATAACCAGATTTTGTATATGTCCTTTATGCCAAGAAATATGTTACAGAGCACAGGTACCTGTACTTTCACTTTGAAAATGCATTTTTTTAGTGAATTGTTTGCCATATATAGTATAATAGGTATATATTCACATAAAAAATAATAATGTACTTGTGAGGCTTCTGTATACTGTATTCAAATTACAATTAGACCTCATTGTAATAGTGAAATATCCTAAATTCCCATTTTTTTTTGGTGCTTGCTTTAGTAATTATGTTATGACTAAGTCTACAATGATTAAAGACTTACCTCTGGCACTGCAGTTCATACTACTGCATTTGACTTGAGTGAGGATTATGTTGTTCACCGTCAGTACATGATTTAGAAGGGTCATAACAGTGTAAGGTGAAGTACAGTACAACAGCCTTAAACTGCAATTAAAAATTCAATTCAACACTGAATGCAATCTGATGTGATTAATGGTAATTTAATGCGAACCATTTAAGAGAAACATTGCAAAGATTCCAATACTGTACAATCTGGCCACATCAACCATATCCCACTGTGAACACAAGGTTGAACAGGATTTTATGGATGAACAGACAGGCACTACTGTAAAGTTATCACTAACATGAAGCTGATTCTTCAGAAGCTTAACAATATCATTACACTTTTATGTGATCATTTGCATTACTATCCACAAATTACAGATAACATGGATTTTTTTGGACTGCTGGTTGATCTGTACAGTACAGTACAGTACAGTACAGTATTTGAGGTCGACCTGAATTGTCCTACTTAGACTAAACTGGTAACCATGAAGACCAAAGCAAGTTTTAGTTCTTTGAGATGTTCTCTCATGAGAAGTATAATGATTACTGTAGTAATAGAAGGACTGAAGAACAACAATAAAAGACTAGTTAATTATATGAAGCAATTTGTGACCAAGAAAATTAAAGCCACTAATTTTTTTTTATTTACATTCTATCTAATGTATCCAATTAATGGCTTTAACTTAATCAATCCTATTACAGTACTACTGTCCAAACATAACTGAAATCAGTGTTAAATTATCAGTAACATGCCCACAAAATTTAAAGCATATTTCCTACATATTAATACTGTACTGTACTTAAAACATATTTCAGAACATACATTGACAATATATTGCAGTTAATTAAATAATTAAAAGTGGTACAGTATTTCATTACAGTACAAAACATACTAAAAATACAGCTCCAAGCAAACAATGCTAAGAATCATTATTCTCAACCATGCATACAGTTGAACACTACCAACAATTTTGCCTTGTCAGGATTTTAAATGAATATGAAACAAATAATGAGTTTTATAAATAATACACCTCCAAAAACAATTAACAAAGATCGGTACCAATTTACACATACAATATCAGTGTATATACAGTCGCTATACCATCAAGATTTTGCAAACTGTACTATTTTTTTAGATCTTTTTACAGAAAATACTTGGTGGTAAAATAATGTCATTGCACAGAAAACACTTTAACTTTGCAATATTTTGACACACCTCAGTGATGTTTTGAAAGAATAAAAGGAGATTTTCCTGAAGGATCTATTGTGCCTCTCTTTAAAGCTCACATCTAAATGAAATACTGTATAATGTGAAGTCATGATATAATATGAATTTATGAAGAATTTATAGTTAAGCTTAAGCATGACCTCTGCCTGGGAGTGCCTGAAATAGATTCACTAATTTCAATACCAAATAATTGAACTACAGATATTTGTTTTGTTTTGTTTTATAATGACAACATCACTAATTGAAGACTCAACTACAGAGTCAAGACAAAGCTTATTTAAGGATATGAAACAATATTATACAATCATGAAGCTTGATCACAAAGGCCACCTATGGTACTTTACTACTAATACTTTAGTTGCAATAGCCACAATTGCAGCAGCACGACAATAAATGCATACATTATCTTATTTTACAACTGAAGAGTCAGACTTTGAGCTGAAAATGTAATGAAAAATATATAAACTGTCAATAATAACAAACAAAACACTACAAGACAACTACTGTGATGCACCGTATTTTAGACTTATGAGGAACAAAACAGTGGGCCATGAGACATATTTCTTCACCCACTATAAACACACTTGTACATTAAAGCTTTAAACAGAGAGCATATATATGTACTGTATATAAACTCTCCCTCACTGATGGTCTTACCTCATACGGACTTGTTGCCGGTAACTGACAGTACAAGAAATAGTTAACTGAATATAGATATATTAATAAATTGCAATCAAGATGGATTGCAGCTTGATCATGCAGTTAGGGGCTGTAAGGTATTCCCATACCATGACGAGTATAAGGTTAAACAATCTGTGTAAACATATGAAAGTAATGTATTATCAAGACGTGGTATACATTTTCTCCTACAAATTCTTTAAAATATTAAGTTCTCTTTGCAAAAATTTTCCTCACGTGATAAAAATTCCTAAAAATCCTCCAGTCAAATTCATGAAGAACTAATTATATATACTGTAGTCATGTTTCATACTTGTAGTTATCAAACTCTGAGAGTGATGACCATCTTACAAATTATCGAGGCACATGGTTAAATATCTTAACTAACCAAAGATAAAGGAACTTAAAAGTAGCTACATTGTATAGTTATAAAGAATACAATTACCATTAAATGGACTCATTGTCACCACTTATTTAGCTGTCTGTCATCCATTTTTGGTAACACAGTACAGTACAACCCTAATATGAAGGGACGGTTATGGTATTTATCCAAACATAATTAGTTGTCCAGTGTGGCTTCATTTATAAAAAATACCTATTATGTACTGAAGACGTAAACTATATTCAATTATAAAATATTTCTCTCACAAAGTGGATGGCTTATAGACTTAACCTAAACTTTCACATGTTGATTCATTTAGCAATACTGGAGGACTGAGATTGTGCTGAGTTTGGCTTGGCACACTGGAGGATTATGGTATCGCTCAGGATCTTTGTCGGTCATAAATATATAGTATTCTGATAGTTCTTACAAAGTTTATATATACTGTATATATAAATTTTTGAGGCACTATTATTTTATTCTTGAGAAACATGAAGTGTTTGAGGCACATTAACAAAAGCACTTCTTGTTGTGCTTCCATCTCTCACTTCGAGGTACAGTATCAGCAAATTTATTTTTGCTTGAGGGTTTAAGTAAATACAGTAGACTACATCATACTGAAGAAGGCAGTTTTTAGTTCCGTGTTTTGTGCTTCATCATCCTTTCTAACGCTTAGTGTGTGTTCTTATACCGGGTGAAAAGGTTATACAGAACTCTGAGGGTTGACTTGAGATCAGAATTCACAATATCTGCAAAGAAAAGTTAACATAATCAAACTGTATACAAATTACAAACCCATAAAATTTTTCTATGGCAGTGCTTTCATATAACAGGCATACAGTCACAGAGGTTTGGCATAAGAGAAATAATTTATAGAGAATGGAAAATGTCTGTTACTTACATTCAGTACATGAGGAGGTTAATATAAGGTTTGTGAAAGGTTGAGAGAAGTTTCTGTTTAAATCTCAAATATGGTACAAGAAGAGCAACTCAGAGTAAACACTTACCTTCTGGCCTGGCCTTGGGTTGAGCTAGTCCAGCATCCATCATTAACTCAAAGGATTGTGTGACATTATGAAGTTTTTCCTCAAAGGTCTGGAAGGAAAATTATATTTAATTATCAGCATAATCAATCTACAAGATATATTATATGTTTATAAAATACAGTACCATATATTAGTCCATTCCCAAGTAACTAAGGCTAGTTCACTCCAGGTTTCCTCTCTCGGTCATCTTCCACTCATGAGTATTATGATGCTAATGAGTGAGTAAAACCTTGAAAATTTACTTATGATAGAAAAAGAGAAAAGCTAGGAAAGAAAATATGGAATACTGTACATATAGTTTAACTGCTGAACCTGGCATAAGAATGAGTAATGTGTTGGAAGTGGCAAGGCTGTCTGATGAGAAACCGTTGAACTTACCTTGGGTGTGAGGAAGAAGTGGTGAAGAGGAACAAAGTAGCCCTCTAGAAGCCCCATCAAGAGACACAAGTAGACTCCATCATTGAACTCTGATTCCAAATCTCCGACCTCTAGGTTGATCTTGTTCAGCTGCTTGTTTACAAATGTGACCAAAGACTGTGAAAGACAACACATTTCAATTAACTAATGAGCCAAACCCAAGTAATAATTTTCATACTATGGTACAAGATATAGGTAGGAGGTAGTAGGCAGCTACCAAACAGGGAGGTACTACCACCTGGGAAGATATTGGAAGCATAATGTATTGTTTAATGGTAGACCCTGCTGCCGTATGGCATCATGAAAATTGTGACCAAGTCCCAGGTTGCTGATCTGACTTTCTGCCTCTTTTAAACACAATTACAGGGTCTCAATTGTTTCTCTTACTTTGACAACACAACATACATATATCGTTTCTCACTATTGATCTTTTTTTAATTTTTGTACTTCTTTAAGGTTCTTTATTATTATTATTATCATCATCACCAGTGGTTATTATTATTACAGTAATCTAAATCAGAACCCACTTACTGCTCTGGCATTGAAAATGACTTGTCCCAATGTTTTTCTACAGTAATATATCAAAACACACTTATATTTGGGTTTATTAATTTATGAACAAATAACCCAGAAAATTCCCTAATACTATACATTACTGTATTCTATATAATTATGTACTAATGCTCGTAAATTTGGTGACTGGTTCCCTAACTTTTAATCTTAATAGTCATCATGTTTATAGCTCTTAATCGCTGCATGTGCATCACAACCTAAATAATAAAACCAAAACACCAATATTTCCTACACTACAATACTACTGTACTATACCGATTTTACAGAGACATACTGTAACATGTTTCCTTTCTCCTGTAGTGTGGTTTAAATACAAATAAAATAGTAAAAACCTCGACTTACTCTCTTTACAACTTGGAGTTTATCAGGTGCATGATCAAAGAGGGTGTCAAAAGCATCCCGCTCACACCTCAGGCCCAGGTCATCAAAAGTGCCGGTCAGTTCCTCATTTACAATGCGGTGATTGAGCTGCCCATCGCGCTTCTGTTCACAGACAGTAAAACGTACAGTATGTGAGAAATCATAATCTCTTGACTTCAAACCTCAATTAATAAGTTATGATACTTGAATGACTACGGAAAATTAAAATTAATACCGTATAAATGCTGACAAATGAAAACTATACATTCTCTTCACTTCACCACAAGATAATAACTGAAAGTTTAAGTGTGATACAAAAAAAGTTAAGCTTTAAATTCACCATCTACTGTCTTCCACCTTTGCAAACTTACATTTTATGTACCTGTGCCATAAAATTAATAGTTTAAATTTTAACTCTACTGATATATCTACTCGTACTACATTTCATTACTTACCTGACATTTAGCCATAACAAAATCTCTATGGCTATAAGAGATGTGTACAAGTTCACCCAAAACACTTAAGATTCTACTTATAATTCTGTAGGAATCATCAGTTTTGCTTTTCTGGAATTTTCACACAGCAACTTTTTCCAAACTTAACATACAAAAGTTTACTTTATTTAAAAAATTCTTAGACCCAAATCACAGCACAGTACAGTACTCCATATGTATGGTGTTAACTGAACAAGAGGTCCTACAGTAATGTTATGCACCTAAGTCATAACAGGAAGCTTGATTATCACTACATCAGATTTTAGATACCAACAGTACAAAAAGATATCCCAGATACAGCATAACATCCGCTGAAAAACAGGCTGTACTGCATTAGGTTTTCCATATCCGCTGCAATGCAGACAGAATTGGGTATCTTCTAAGCTCTGCTGCCACTTTTACCCTCCTTAGCATGTCACAATTGATGATAGTTAACTGGTTGGTACAAATCCCAAATACAGGCAGAGCATAGTTGTAAGGTCCATTAAACAGTGACTTATAAGACCAAATTAATGCCTTCAATGCATACACCTTACCTGCACAATAACAACACTAATGATGCAGTTCTCAGGCATCCTTATTGGTGCTCTAAAATGGCGGGCCAATGCTACTAGCAGGTGAAGAATTGCCACAATATTTTTAGAGTGGATGGACTCCACTGACCACTTATGGGGTCCATATCGGCTTAGCCCAAGGATCTGAAAAGTTAACACAGAATCAAATATGGAGATATTTTAAGGTTCACTTACAAGAGCTTCTCTAGTCCAATACTGATACAGAGATATCTTGAAATTACGCTGGTTTGAAGTCAAATAAAAAATGATGATCACATGGATGTCTCTATACTAAAGCAGCCTCACCATGGTTCTATGTATTATTAAACACAAAAATACATATACAGTACTTAACACAAATTTACATACAGGTATACATACAATCTTGAGGAGGGAGTGTATTGCTTATACAGTAAAATTTAACCACTTAGTATAATTATTAATATCCAAGAAGAGATTTGAAAATGTTTGGTCAGTCTTTGTTATTAAAGTTACATTCGGGTTATCACATTTTTCCTCGTGTATAAGGTTACAAATAAATTTTCAAACCAATAGTCTTCACTTACATGATTGGCAGCATTGAGAACGATCCGCAACTTCTGTTTCTGGCCGGTCTCACTCTGGGTAACCTCCTGCACGTCTAAAGTGTTATTTGTCAGCTTTTCTGAAACAAAAAGCACAGTAAAATATGGTAAAACAGACTTTACATTAGTATGCACGATGCTTTAAAAAATGTGAATGAAGGAAGTTGGAAAAGATGAGTCATGTAATAATGATAAAATATTAAATCTATTCTCACCAATCAACTTGTGGAACACCATTCCATCATAAAGGTCCTCTTCTATGTGTTTGACTATAATACGCTCCGGTGCCAGGACATCATTAACCCATTCCATAAGGATGTCAATCAACTCTTTCAGTTTTGGATCATCATATGATCCAGGCTCTATCATAGATCTCTCTTCATTGTCATCTGCCAAGAAATTTTATGTGATATAATAAAAATAACAATAGCAATATAAATAAATAAATAAATACCATTAATAAATAAATAAATAAATAAATAAATAATAAATAAATAAATAAATAAATAAATATATATATATATATATATATATATATATATATATATATATATATATATATATATATATATATATATATATATATATATATATATATATATATATATACAGTATATATATAGCCGGCCCTAGGGCCACTTAGGCATGAATTTGTTTAAGGTGTAGAAGCTGTTGCCAACACAACAACCACACCCTAAGTTAGTGAAATGCATGACCCAGTGTCAAGGATAGTCCGAGAAGACGGGACAACTCGCCAACTGCACTGGCTAACCATTACCCAGGAACACAATCCGCAAATCGATTAACATCCAGGTTCCCAATTACTGCTGGGTAGACAAGAGGCAAATGGCATAAAGAAACTTGCCCATAGTTTTACCCTGCCCAGAGGTTGAACCTGGGTCCACTTGTTTGCAAGGCAAGCATGCTGACCATTACACCACAGGTTGCCACTTATATTGGTGAATGTGAAAGTGCTACTGTAAAGGAGGGAACCCAATCCTCCCCAACTAAGTAATGAATCTAGAACCTTTTGCTTGAGAAAGTACAATACATCACATACCTAAGTGTTGTGTCTATACCGTTAATGTCATATTATAATATTCTGAAATGTGTTTATAAAGAAAAAATTATGCAATTTATGATTATTACAGAATGGATTCTAATACTAAGTAAAATGACTTAGTTTATAATACTTTATCTTACCTAAATTGTAGTCATCTGGAGGTACGTCTACAGACATGGGAGACCCAGGTGAATCAATTGCATGTTTACCTTCAACTTGCACTTCTTGAACTGTTAAATAAAACACAAAAGTTTATAATTACAATGCAGGTAATGATAAAAATATACAACAAAAATTAATGCCCTGTATCTGAAAATATAAAATAAAATCGTAGCAGGTGATGACTTAATATATATTTTTTCCTCACAAAAAGTAAACTTCATTTAGCATAACTGATATACAGTATACAGGGTATTTCTCTTTTTAATTAAATCAATATATGATGTAAAATTGTAAACATATTCCATTTGAATTATTCTTGAAGGAAAGCATTTTAAAAATCAATTACCAGTCACAGCAACAAGATTAGAAAATTATGAAGAACAACAATTGAAACACAAATTTCAAATATTGATCATGACTTAATTGAAATACAGTTACAGCATTAAATAACAGAACTATTATTTAACTGTCTTTTTAGTTGAGTACTGTAATGGAATTCTAATATCTACTAAATCTTGGAAAATATCAGAGGAAATGTTTTGATACTGTACTGTAGTTCTAGCACGTCCTTAACCCGGCTAACTCCAGGAAGGATGACACCGGCAAGATAACTCTACCGGGTAATGATAGCACAGAACTTGCAAGAAAACATTCATATTTATTTACATAATTTACTTCATTAACTCCCATGAACTATAAGTCTACTGAATGATTTGCTCTCAAGGGAAATTTAGTACTACAAACTGATCATTGCCTGCCATGGTTCAAGAGCATACAGGTATCTACTGAGAAAATGGAAAGGGGAGTCTTGTATGAAAGTGGAAGCCACCCTCCCAGCCTATCTTCTGATCTGGGAATTTAATGGTTTAGTTCAATGATTTTTTTTTATCTTGCACATAATCTGGGTATTAGATGTTTCAGTTAGGAGCCTTATTACTACAGTACCCTTTAAATAATCTAGGTATTTCAATCGTCTAGTTTGGCACACACATCCTTTAAATCAGACATTACTAAGATGAGTTCCCAAGTAAAAATCCCACAAAATAAAGTGGCAACCCTCTCTTTAACTTGTCCAATATAAAGTTTAAATAATAAAGTGGAAGTTTAAGAATATTGGGTATAGGTCCTCTTACAATATAGGAGTAAATACAGTAGAGTATAAACACAGAACATTACTATTTTGTTTTAAAGGACATATACCACTAACAACAATACCCTTAAAACCTTGTATAATTGTTTCTGAGGTTTTATTTAACAGCAATAAACTATAAAATTTATTATTGAGCCATGACATCACGAACCATTAATATATAGTAATGGAATTCCTATGAACTACTTGTCTAAATACTATACAAACCGAATTAATTAGTCATTTTCTATTTGGTTGTGTTAATAATAAGTCTGAAACTAAACTATTACATCATATATAGAAATAAAAGTAATATTAGTTCACATTCACATGAGTGGGCGGGGACCAAGAGGAACTTTTTTCGTCTGCTATGAGTCAAACAATGACCCACCTGCTCATACAAACCCTAATATTACCAACTTATGTCCTTTATTTTCTCCTTGTTACTCAAGACTTAATACCACTTGCCTTCTTTGATTTTCTTTTTCCTCCCCAGCGTTCCAATTTTGTCCCAGAAAGACTCATTAGCCTCATCTTTCCGAGGAGTGTTGGGACGGGGCGACTTGGGTCTCTGGGTGGCCATCTTGAGAGTGCCAACTTCAGACTCGGAGCCCATAGGTGACACTGCTCCTGTTTAACCCACCACGTTCATAGAAAAACACCGTTTAATTATAATACATGAATAAAATAAAGCTTCAACTAAAAAAAATACATTTAAATAAAACATAGTTGAATGCATTGCATCCAAGTAACCCGCCAAGTTCAAACACACAATGCAACACTTTTTTTTTTACTTTTATCCTCTTCACCACTGATCGGCTCGTTAAGCGCTTGAGAGATCGGTCACGTCTCTGTCACGCACTGTTGGCAAGTACTGGGCATGCACCGACTCCTGAATGTATCTGAACCTGCTCCAGTGTTGGTCAAGTCTGGTCTTTAAAGAGCTCACACTCGGTGCCGTCACAACACTCTCTGGTAGATTGTTCCAAGAGTTTACAACCCTCACTCCGAAAAAGTTTGCCCTCACAGTTTTCTGGACTGTGGCTTCTTCAGCCTACTTTTACCTTTTTACTTCACCCTCTTCGCCACTGATCGGCTCGCTAGCCGCCCGGGTGATCGGTCACGTCTCTGTCACGTACTGTTGGCAAGTACTGGGCATGCACCGGCTCCTGAATGTACCTGAACCTGCTCCAGTGTTAGTCAAGTCTGCTCTTGAAAGAGCTCACACTCGGTGCCGTCACAACACTCTCTGGCAGATTGTTCCAAGAGTTTACAACCCTCACTCCGAAAAAAGTATGTCCTCACAGTTTTCTGGACCTGTGGCTTCTTCAGCCTACTTTTTACCTTTTACTTCACCCTCTTCGCCACTGATCGGCTCGCTAGCCGCCCGGTGATCGGTCACGTCTCTGTCACGTACTGTTGGCAAGTACTGGGCATGCACCGGCTCCTGAATGTACCTGAACCTGCTCCAGTGTTGGTCAAGTCTTGTCTTGAAAGAGCTCACACTCGGTGCCGTCACAACACTCTCTGGTAGATTGTTCCAAGAGTTTACAACCCTCACTCAGAAAAAGTTTGCCCTCACAGTTTTCTGGACTTGCGGCTTCTTCAATCTTGAGCTGTGACCCCTTGTGGGGCGAGCGTCCGCCAGCTCCAAGTAAGGACACTCAACTGAGTAGTGCCCCCTGAGATGCTTATAAACCTCAACTAGGTCCCCCCTTGCCCGTCTGTAGTATAAGCTAGGCAAGTTCAGGCAAGTATCGGGCATGTACTGGCTCCTGAATGTATCTGAACCTGCTCCAGTGTTGGTCAAGTCTGCTCTTGAAAGAACTCACACTCGGTACCTTCACCACACTCTCTGGCAGATTGTTCCAAGAGTTCACAACTCTCACTCACAGTTATCCGGACCGGTATGTCCACAAACTTTACTTAACTTCAACTTGTAAGCAACTTCATACAATAAACAACAGCAAGTAATATTCTTAATTTAGTAGGTAAGTATAGGCTCACAGAAATACTATATATAAGTAGTGCTGGAAATTTAAATATATTTTGCCATGATTTAATTGATAGACTGACAAAATTAAATGGACCATGATAAAATCTCTAAAATTACCAGAGTGTATCACCCTTGATAACTCGATCAGGTCTTAATAGATATAGCACACACACTTATTCTTCAGTACATGACTCTTAATAGATAAACCTGTCTAAAGGAAATCACAATTGCTGGTGTTTGAACGTTTAATAATACTTAAATCTTTAGTTTCCACGGAATAAGGATCACTGCTGAACGGTATCAATATCAACGGGATTAATGGATTGAGAGAGGGAAATGCTGAAAACTAAGGAAGTGATAATATGCAACTGTAGTGTATATTTGTCGATAAAATAGTGCACGATGGGAAATTCATGAATAGCTGCAGAATTTAACCCTCTCCTCCACCCACAATGACCTTCCCATCAACAATTCTATGAAAACTGCCGCCCGGATGTAAGACTTGAATGGCATTCGGTATTTCCGGTATTTTTTTTTTAGGAATTAATTACCTAAAGCATATGTGACATCATTTGCCTTTTCCCCGAATCACACTTATTTATAAAACGGTGAAAACTGATTAGTTCAAATTCACCTTAAAAAAGGATACCCTAATTCAAGAGTGGTACGGTGGATTTCGCGTTAATAAAATCCTTGGGAAGAAACAGCCTCAGACAGCAACATAACTGTGAAACAAAGAAACAAAGTGTATTAAAACCGGATGTCTGATATACGGGGCTCACGATATACTTTATACAGGGTGTCCCATAAGTTTCCATACAACGTATCACCAACGCCATTACAAGCATAACTCCAGCTGTGCTTGAACGTGTTCTTCAGCAGTGGAGGACACGCATTGAAGAGTGTTTTCAACAGAATGGTAGTCATGTAGAGCATATTATATAAAGAAAAATGGATTTTCATATAACATTTATTTTTCCTATGTATGGAAATTTATGGGACACCCTGTATATACAGTAAGTGATTAGGATCTACTTCAATAGCTGTATCCGGCTTCGAAGTAAATAAAATAGACGTGATATCGTTTGATCCAGAGTATTTCCAGGTCGATGCAATGTACTACATACTGTATATCAAGTGACGCATTAGTTCAAAATAAGTTAAAAGAAATAAAAGGGACTTAACTTTTTTATTGGTAGACATAACTCATTATTTTTTTGTTTGGTGAATGTGAGAGAGTTAATGGTGAGTCTGGTGAGTAGATTTTTTTTATTGTATTATTTATTTGTTCCTTATATCTCCATCCACTATCACGACAACAATGAGGAGCCGAGTACAGTAGTGGTCTAGTGTAAGCTGTCACTACCTCTCTCACCACACACCTGCACCACCACCATCACTATCACCACTACCTCCCTCACCACTATCTCCCTCACTAACCCTCCACCAACACTACTATCTCCCTCACCACCGCTATCTCCCTTCCCTAGCCCTCTACACTACCAACACTATATCTCCCCCACCACTATATCACCACCACTATCTCCATCACAACTCACCACCGCCATAACCCTGACCTCTATCACCATTTTTCATCACCACTAGCTCCAACATTACTTTTCACCACAATGACTGAAAAAAGTCAGATGTAATCCAATGTAAGTAGCTGTGTGAGGTGTGATACTCGCTGGAGGTAGATACAACACAGTTCGTTAAAATATCCTCAGGACGTTCTATAATAATTAATCTTTATCGACTTATTATATAGCAATGTCAGAAAAGGCCTTACGCAAAATCCACCTACTTATAAACAATACAATATCCTGCAACGCTAACACCTTCCTCTACCACACACTTATAACTACTCCCACCACCTCCCTCACCACACATCTACATTACCACCACTTCCCTCACCACATATTATCTACACCACTACCAATTAACTCTTTCACATCCGTATCAAAAAGTTACTAAAAATCCCATAACTCATAAAAGAATATCATCCTTATCTACCTTCATTAGTCTTTTCTGGTGTGACGTCAAGCACCGGATGAATCATGGAGTATATTTTTGTTTGCAATAACATATGAGAACAACATTCACACGATCACTAGTTCTCGTTATGGTTCTAAAAGGTTAATCCTGGACTTAATCAATGTTATTTACGCATTTGTGTTTGTTTTAGGTATTTGGAATGTAAATTTTCAATACCATTTTTTTCCATCAATTTCGTTAGGTAACTCTTCTGGCTGACTGAGACTTTATTGACAAAGATAATTCTGATAAGTCCAAGCTGACGGAGCATTTGATGAATTCTCGCTCGTTCTTTTTGATCTTCATTTTGCTCTTCATCATCATCATTATGACCATCATCCCCTTAAAATCATTATACTCATGAAACGCGATCGAAGGGCACAGTGAAATTACCAGAGCCGTTAAATCCACGTCGGCTGTGTTCGCTTTGTATGACCCTCATGTGAACGCGACAACGCCTCAAGGAATAAAAAGATAAATGGTAAACCTTATCAGATATACTTGAAAGACATGATCCAATTCATTTAGCAAGACGATCAGGACTAGTGGTGCTCGTTGATACATGGTGTGCTCGACTTAACGCGAACGTATATACGCCTATTAATTTTTTTTTATATCTTTTTTATCACTCTACTGACCTGGTCTTGTTCCCAGCATCGCCTCGGTGGTGTCGGGGTCAGAGACAACGATGGCGGGTCCTCGGTTAGGGGGAGACGTGGTACCCCGTCCTCTTTCACAAACACCTACACACGCAAAGCAAATTTTAAAGTGAAAAAAATAAGATAAAGTAAACGAAAATAGGGTTAAGGATTAAATAAGTGTATGGAAGATGAATGAACTAAAAAATAGGTAAATATATTTATAACTATATTAAATCAGGACAATACACAAGATGGTATATAGAAAATCAATCAAGAGTTGAAATTGTATTAAAATAAATGTACTGTATGATACTGAAACAGCGCCATTTTATCTGGACGTGATGTTACAGGTTGATCACGTGTTGCCTCTATAGCTCTATGTGATTAGGTCAGTATGAGATGTCCGAACCTGCACACAACATGAACGGTAATTAAAACAAAAATATTCGACAGGCAACAAAAATACAAGTTACATAATTTCAAGTTTATACATACGTGTGAACTAATCTGAACCTGTAGGTATATATATCCCTCTCCTCCTTACCATTACAAACACACACATACACCTACACAAAGAAGAACTTACCTTGGGAATCAACCTGTACAAACTGGACCTTCTTGGGCACATAGTCGACGACCCTTGGTGGTCCTGGCGAGGTGCTGGGTGAAACTGTACAGGGTAAATGTTGGTTAGTGTTTGCTGACTGTTTCCATGTATCTGTCTTTCTCTCTCTCTCTCTCTTTATCCATGTGTGTCTTCCTCTTTTTCTTTCCACACACGCACACATACACACATACATACACGTTACACATCTGCAACACAACTGACCTCCTATTTTACATGCTACACTCAAGATAGCATTTTCCTTTACAAACCTGTCCCATTCTCTACACACCTGCACCACCACTTGAACCATCACAACACCTGACGGAGGATAGCACATACCTTCAATGGAGGAGTCGGAGAGGGCGCGGAGTTCGGGTTCATCGTCGGAAGTATCGGAAAAGTTCCCCGTACCCGCCTTCAAGAACTGGGCCTCTGTGGGTGTACGGGGACTTACAGGTTAGTCTCTGTCGGGATACAACTTATACTTTCATGAGAGGATTTGAACCTAAGTTATTTATTTCCTTCGGCTGAAATAAATCTTAGAATTTGATAACATTTTATTAGGTTATACGTTAGTTACTGTTTTTATTTTAAATGTGTTTTTTTCTTCTCTCTGCTGGAACCTGGACATAAGTTTCAGTGGGTAGCTTACGGACTTGGGGGGCATCCGGGGAGAGAGAACGGGCTGGTGAAGGCGTACGGGCTGTAGGTAATGGAGAACTGATTCGAGACATCCTGAAGACGTTGCTGACGGTGTTCTGTGCGGGAAAGAACAAAATATATATGTAGCAGCTTGTAGAGAGAGAGAGAGAGAGAGAGAGAGAGAGAGAGAGAGAGAGAGAGAGAGAGAGAGAGAGAGAGTCAAAATTCTCCCAAGAAAATATGGCATCTATTTTACCATTATTTTTCATCCAACTTCACTTCTCAAGAATTTCTATGCCAGTTGTCCGTCCGCTGGTCAGTTATTTTTACAGGCACTGGTCAGAGTCATTACTGTCAAGTAAGAGTGCCATAAGCCATTTGGAAATCATGTCACAACAGAGAGCTGAAGGGAGTGTCGGGAGGGTCATATAACCAAGGTGATACGTACCCAAAGCGAGCCAAAGGTGGTACATAGCCAAGCTGTCATAAAGCCAAGTAGTCATAATTATAGCCAAGCAGTTACATAGCCAAGCAGTTACATAGCCAAGCAGTTACATAGCCAAGCAGTCATACAGCCAAGTAGTCATAATTATAGCCAAGCAGTCATATAGCCAAGCAGTCATATAGCCAGGGTATCACATATTATAGCGATACGTTCCATAGCCAGTGCGTCACATAACCAAGGCGTCACACATACGTAAGGCATCACAAAACCAGGCCATCACATAGCTGGGGATTCACATAGCCAGGGCGTCACAGCCAGGACGTCACATAGCCAAACCGTCACAAAAGAAAGGCGTCAGGCAGCCAGTGCGTCATATAACGTCCCTCGCTGACATCACACTTCACGGAAACCTACCAAACTCAATTCACCACAAATCCCGCCATGTCTTATAATTCACAACCATTTTTTTTATTTACAATTTACACAGGCAAGAGACACTTCAGATATAAACTAATAACCCTTTTAGTAAATTTGATCCTTTTGCGTTTACGGAGACGAAAAATACTAGTAGAAACCTTAATATTCTGGTGTTTTGACGGAGGCTACAAGACACCTCTCACGGGGTCTCAACACTGAAAATTACGTCTTTCTCTCCCTCTCTCTCTCTCTCTCTCCATTGACACAGGATATGTCGTCATCTGTGGGGTAAGATAAATAGTGTAGGATATTTTGGTTAATAAGGTCGAGATTCATTGGTAATAAAATTGTTAATATATGTCTTAATGGGTATAGTTAGGTATGTCTTTTTAGTTGGTAGAGAGTGTATGTGTAACCTCGAGCGGTCATTGGTGGGTTTAGTATTGTTTATCTGAATTGTTAAGATAAGAATAGCAGTTTGTGAAGTTCTCCCTGTTTCACATTACCTGACTCTATATCTCTCTCTCTCTCTCACTCTCTCTCTCATGTCTTTTTCTCTTTTCTCTCGTATACACACACACACACACACACACACACACACACACACACACACACACATACATACATACACACACACATACATACATACATACATACATACATACATACATACATACATACATACATACATACATACATACATACATACATACATACATACATACATACATACATACATACATACATACACTGCAATGGTCTAATAATTCACGAGAGACAAACGATAATTTCCTCTTTAAATATTTAACAGAAAGTGAACAGATTCCCTTAATGACTTGTACGTTTAATTTAATGAACTATAGATAATAGAGACACGCTTAACTCCCTGGTAATTAGAGAAGGGAGAGGGAGAGAGGGACGGAAGAGAACAGGGGAGAGAGAGAGAGAGAGAGAGATGATAATATAATAATAATAATAATAATAATAATAATAATAATAATAATAATAATAATAATAATAATAATAATAGAGGGAGAGAGAGAGAGACTTACAGGTATGGGAGAGTAAGGGAGAGGCTGGCAGGGGATTTGGGAAGGGGTGAGAGGGAAGTGAGAGGGAAGTGAGAGTAAGGGGGTGAAGTGGCAGGGGAAGTGGCAAGCGGAAATTAAGTTTTCCAAACGTGCAATAAAACCATTTTTTCGGGGGTAGAATGATGAACCACGAGCCAGTAAGAGTGTGTCTAACTGTCTCTCTGGGAGTAACTGTCTGACTCTTGGATTATTTGTTTTGAAGTGACTGTCTAACTGTCTATTTAAAAGTGACTGACCGATTATTTTGGAATGGGTGTCTGTCTATATGGGAGTGACCTGATGTGACTGTTTATGTCCAAGTATTACTGGGAATGACAGATAGACAGGGGGAGGAGCCCGGGTTAGTAGAGGAGAGGAGATAAGACGGAAGACAGATAGACAGACGGAGGGAGGAGCCGAGGTTAGCACAGGAGAGGAGATAAGACAGATACACCAGACAGACAGACAGACAGACAGATAGATAGACAGACAAAATGTGGGGGTAAAGATAGTAACAAAATTACATACAGATAAAAATAGACAGATAGACAGAGAGACAGAGAGACAAGGAGGGTTGAAGAGTAGCATCAGGAGGCAGGAGAGGCAGCAGACTAGAGACAGACATACAGACAGAGAGACAGACAGAGAAACAGACAAACACAGACAAGGAGGACAGGGTAGCAGCATCAGGAGGCAGGAGAGGCAGCAGACTAGAGGCACTAAATCCCCGGCGTCAAGCAGTGTGCATTTCATTTAATTTGCAATCAGCGTGTGACTCTAATGGCTCCCGTGGGACCCAAGTAATTTATACCTTAATTACAAACTCTGGCACCTCCCCCACGGCAGGCGGCGGTGGTCGTGGGGGAGGGGAGGGACGGAGGGGCTGCCACTCCCGTCACTCCCTACCACCGGCGTCACTCTCTGCCACTATAGCCGTTGGGTGGGTGGGGTGGGGTGGGGGTGGGGGTGGGGGGGGGGGTCGTCACTCCCTGCCACTAATCGTCACCTCAGGACCACATGTCTCCGTATATATACTGTACCTTCCATGCAAATACAGATCGTTCAAGTTTATCCGCCCCTCTCTTGCTACATAGACCCCTCGGCTGTATCCTCCTGAAACACGATCTTAAGACCAGGTTAGATACTACACCTTCTTCCCCTCCTGCCTCGAGTTAATGAGGTGGTGGACCCTGTGTTTGGGGTCCTCCAGCACAGCACCTCCTGCCACACAATACTCACGTCGTCTTAAACGCTTTCTCCCCTCTTCTTCTTCTCTTGCTACTCTTCCTCCTTCTAATCTTCCTCCTTCGTACCCTCCTTCTACTTCTCCCCTTCCTCCTCCTTTTGCTACTCTTCCTCCCCCTTCTCCTCCTTTTCCTACTCTTCCTCCCCCTCTTCTTCTTCCTCGTACTGCGTGGGGGAGAAGGACTTTGTTTCACGTACCTTCTTCCTATTCTCAGAGGATTCATTATGGTCGAGATTCAACACCATGTCGACGGTATTCAATCTTTTCTTTTGTTGTTATTTTGGGAAGCCTATTGGATCCTTTAATTCTCACATCTTGCCTTAAGTTATGAGAAAATTCAGTGAAAGATTATCGTAGGAGTTCGGATGTTGAGTGATAAAGAGTAACAGCGGGAAGGAAGCAGGGTTGGAGTTATCGAGGAGGTGTACGATAACATTTCCTCGCAATGTATGACAGAAAGAATCTGATTATTGAAGAGCCTTGGATACTATTTCGATTCCATTTCACTCGTCATTTGTTTTTTGCGTTATACTTTCTTACTTTTATCATCTTACCACTGATCGGCTCGTTATCCGCTTGGGCGATCGGTCACGTGACTCACGTCTCTGTTACGCACTGTTGGCAAGTACTGGGCATGTACTGGTTCCTGAATGTATCTGAACCCGTTCCAGCATTGGTCAAGTCTGGTTTTGAAAGAGCTCACACTCAGTGCCGTCACAACACTCTCTGGCAGATTGTTCCAAGAGTTCACAACTCTCACTGCGAAAAAGTTACCCTCACAATTTTCTGGATAACTCTAACTCCACTTTTTTGTTGGTATTATTGTGTTTTTTGTATGGTTTTTTTATTTAAATTAAGTGTGTAAAGGAAAAATAATTTAATTTAGCCTCGCTCTTGTGCTGTATAACGGCATGTACTATTTTGAACATCACGTAATAAAATATAAAATTATTAATTAGATCAACCAGTCAACTTTAACCATGGTAAAGATTTAGCGTAGTCTGCCCAGAAACGTTTTCTTTAGTGAAACTCCTTGGCCACGCCTCGAAAATACAGTAATTATATCCCAGCAATCTGTTGACATTAATTTTAGATCACATCGCCTGTCTCCCTTTTATATATTTATGCTTTGTATACAATTCTCATCTTTAAAAGCAAGTTTCCTGAAAAATGCCCAAATAACCGAAGTATTATACCGTGACCAAACAAATAATAACACCACTATCGCCTAACACCTAAAATTAACTAATCCATAGGTCTACCATCCTCTATGACGCCCTGGCAAGCTTGAAATAATATGTCCTATCATGTTGGTGGTGCGTCCATCACGACAAACTGGCCCAGGGTTACGTTTTCCATCGATTTCCAAATTTTGAAAACAACTGTGAGCTCCACCCTGTTGTATCTTGTCTAAAGAGCTGTTAGTCCCATGGCCCTCAGTCTACCTGGATAATCTAAATGATATAGTTGAGGGATTATCCTAGGAGTATGGAGATGAGGATAGGAGTTGTGTCATATGTTCTCGACACGCACTGAGAAGTTGTTTTAGCTCAGCCTGATCTGTTATAACACGTAACATTATCTTGGGTCATTTACACATTTGTTCACGGATTCTTTCCAACTGAGAGGATGCTTACTGCTTGTCCCTCTACTAAGGTTAGGTTAGGTTACACTAGCATTAGGATATGTAATCATCAGATGAAATAAGCGTTCCTAATCGACATAAAATCCAAATTTTTCTTTATAAAATTCGTATATATGTGAAATAATTACATAAATATTAGAGAATGTGTTCTAAAGCATTAAGTCACTCATGACCCATATGTACTGTTAAGTGAGGTAGGAACGATGCAAAGCTGAATATTCTACAAGAGAACACAAGGTAGGTAGGTAGGCGGCAACGATAAATACCACGGGTGAGCAGCAGAGATAGCTGTCATTGTGCAGTATATATCAGTACAAATAACCCATTATTAATCTCAAAGACAAAAATTCACTGCCTTAGATACTGGTGTTCATGATCATAAGAGTATGTACTTTGTCTCCAGGTGTGTGTGTGTGTGTGTGTGTGTGTGTGTGTGTGTGTGTGTGTGTGTGTGTTTATGATGGGTATGATAAAAATTCCTTGATTTTTCTTCTCTATTCAAAATTTTAAGTCCATAGCGAATTTTTGTCTGTCTTTCAAACATAATGTGATTTTTTAGTGGGTGGGTGGGTGGGTGGGTGAGTGGGTGGATGGGTGAGTGGTGGGTGGGTGGGTGGGTGGGTGGGTGGGTGGGTGTGGAGTGGGTGGGTGGGTGAGTGGGTGGGTGGGTGGGTGGGTGGGTGGGTGGGTGGGTGGGTGGGCTGGTGGGTGGGTGTGGGTGGGTGGGTACATTGTTTAAATACTATCTGTTGTAGCTTGACGCGTTAAATGGGCCAGTTAAATGCTTCATCATAACTATATACAAGGGATAGATGACGTAAGAATTTCTCACTATATTATAACATGATGGCTGCTGACTGACTCCTCTTATGCAGGTCACCCCCTCTCTCCCCAGGACTGACTGACTCCTCTTACCCCGTGCAGGTCACCTCTCTCCCCAGGACTGACTGACTCTTTGCAGGTCCTCTCTCCCCCAGGACTGACTGACTCCTCTTACCCCGTGCAGGTCACCTCTCTCTCCCCAGGACTGACTGACCCTCTTACCCGTGCTACCCTCTCTCCCCCAGGACTGACTGACTCCTCTACCTGCAGGTCACCTCTCTCCCCAGGACTGACTGACTCCTCTTACCCCGTGCAGGTCACCTCTCTCCCCCAGGACTGACTGACTCCTCTTACCCCGTGCAGGTCACCTCTCTCCCCAGGACTGACTGCTCCTCTTACCCCGTGCAGGTCACCTCTGTCTCTCCCCCAGGACTGACTGACTCCTCTTGCCC